GGTCGATTATATTTCGATGTTCCCACTCATTTTGATAGCGAGAAAAGCAATCTGGTGCATGTGTTTTACCTTTTTTGTATAACACTTTGTAGCGGTATGATGATAAAATGATGCTCCAACGTTGGAGTCTACAATTTTTAAAATTGATACGAGGTAATTGACATAACGCATGGTGATCCGTCTCTATCAGGAATTCTTCTCCTTCTAAATAGTGACGAAATTTTCTTACACCTACTAGAATCGCTAGTAGCTCTTTTTCAGACACAGAATATGGTCTTTGATGCTTTAGTAACTTCTGACTAAAGAAACTTATCGGCTTCCATGCTTTTACCTTTTCAATTGGAACTGGTTTACCATCATCACTTGACTTCACATCAGGATCTTCCTGAAGAAGTATTCCTCCCACGGCGACGTCTGAAGCGTCCACTGAGAGTTTATGCTTAAGGTGCGATTGATAATGAACGAGCATAGTTGTTTCAATTAAACTATCTCTTAAACGATTCAGGGCTTCTTTTTCTTCAGAACCCATGATGAACTTTTTGTCTTTTGAAATTAGACGATACAAACACGATGCTATTGATGAATAGTCTTTTATATATCTGCTGAAGTAATTGAAACATCCAAGTTGACTTTGGAGTTCCTTAACACAAGTTGGATAAGGTAAGCGTTTAAGTGCGGTCACTTTTCCAGGGTCAGGCTTAATTCCGGTTCCACTCACAATGTGGCCGAGGAATAAAAGTTCATTAAAGCCAAACTTACACTTATCGGTTTTCACCTTCAGGTTGAATTTTCTTAATCGTCCCAAAACGATTTTAGTGTTGTTGATGAGTTCATCCCATGTCGATCCTTTGATAGGCACATCATCAAAGTAACCAAGGCATTCACTGTATTGTAAGCCTTGCAAAACGGTGTTCACTAACTTTTGAAACACGAAAGGGGCTCCTGATAATCCCATAGGTAACCTTTTAAATTGGTATTTACCATCAGGCGTACAAAATGCTGTTTTAAGTCTCTCTTTCGGATTAAGTTCTATTTGAAAATATCCTTGAGCTAAATCCAACATATTAAAGTATGTTGAATCTTTCACTGCTTCCAGGCAGTCATCTATCCGAGGCATTGGATAGGGGGGAATGGCTGTTAAATTGTTTAGCTTACGATAATCTACAACTAATCGATGAGATCCATCCGGTTTATCCACGAGTAAAGCTGGACTACCGCCATAGGCTGAAGATGGTTCGATTATATCTGCTTTAAGTAGATCATTAATCACAAATTCAAATGCTTTCCTTTTCACGGCTGAACAAGGATAAGGCTTAGCGTAAGGTACAATATTGTTGCCAATGTCGATTGTAAATGGACAAATTTCATGAGACACGAGTCCAAGATCATGAGAATGGAGAAAAACATCTTCGTAGTTTAGAAGAACAGCAAGTAATTCATCTTTTTTAGATGATGAAAGTTCAGGATTAACTCGTTTCAATAAACGTTCTTGTAGAGATAAACTCAATTTATCTCGTTCAATGTTGAAAATCGGTAAAATCGATTCAAATTCTTCTTCACTAAGAATTTCACTGATTTCTGGTTCATTTACCAAGGGTTTATGTTCACTTGAACATTCTCCAATAATTATCTCTGGAATACGAAGTTCTTTGATACACAATAGATGATCATCACGGACACTTTTACTTATTTTTGGTTCCTCGTTAAAGGCTTTTTCACTTTTTTGGTCCGGAAACATAATTTTGTTATCACTTCTTCCATTTGAATTGGAATAAATTTCACTCAGACCATTTGAATGGGTCTTTTCACTTTTGAACTCAGAAATTTCTTGATTGTTTTCATTTAAAGGAGGAGCATTTTTGATGATGAGCTCAGTTTCACTCTGGCTGCAAAATCGAATGTTAAATTTGGGTTCGTAAGACCTTCCTTGTGGATTATCTTTCACGATTACATTATAATCTTCTCCACTGGAATTTATTTCCATGTAAAATAAATGAGCAAATAAATTGCCAAATAACAACTTTGGTGTAAAATCTCTGGCGACTTGTAGTTTTAGGATGCGAGCATCTTCCATGTGAGGATGCTTGATAATAGCATATGAACTTCCAATTGTCTCCAGCGGACAATCTTCAACTACACCTTGAAGTCTTTTACGAGATTCCAATAAATGAGCTCCCAACTCTTTGGCGAGATCACTATCAATTACTGTTGTTGTTGCTCCTGTATCGATGAGTACATCACCTGAAGTGATTAACTTCTTGTTGATTGAAAACAATTTCACTGCCACAGTAGGCATGTCACTTAAATCAGAACCATCAATGTTTGTTAATGTTTTTTCTTGGTTCTTTAATGTGAACAAAACTGAAACACGTGCACTTTTTCTGATTGATTCAGGTTCGTTTAGTTTACCTGATTCAGACTTATCAGTATCAAGCTGTTGATTGCCTTTCTTCTTAGGACAATCTCGAATGTGATGATCACTTGATCCACAACTGAAACACTTATAAGGTTTTTTCTTAGGATGTCCATCTGAATTGGATTCCTTTTCATCATTTGATTTGTGACGATTATCACGATGATTTTGTTTCCTGTCGAAACGATTACCTTTGTGTTCATTTTTATCTTGAGCTCGGCGCTCTTTCAATTTAGCTTGATGTTCGTGGTAATTAATGATGAGAGCTTCGGTAATGTCTTCGATGCTTTTATTAGCACGTTGTCGAAGAACTTCCTTCTTAATATCTTCACTAAGATGATTAAGGATAAAAACCAACATGGTGTCTTCACTGACTTTTCCTTGGCTTTTAGTTACCAAACGTTTAACTTTGGAAACGAATTCACTTGGTGTTTCCTCGAACTTGTAATTTAGCCGCATTAACTCTTGTAACGCATTAGCTTTACTTGTAGTACTGAGAGTCTTTGAGTATAATTCTTTGACATACTCTTGATAAGTAGTCACACCAGGATCGATTAGATCGGCTAAGTGTGCTATTTCATAGGCAAAACCTTTACGAAGACTTCTCAACTTAGTAGACTCATCTACATCTTCTAAGGCTAACCTTTTCTCGGTTTTGAATAACCATTCATAAGGATCTTCTCTCTTCTGAATTCAGTAACTACTGGATCTTGATAGATCCTTATCTGAGGAAATTGACCTAAATTTGAGACATTTATCTCAGGTTGACTGGGTAAACAATTTTGAAAATTGACCCTTGTTTGCTCTCTAGGCCTCAATGGCTCGGAATGAATTGATGAAACACTAGAATCTAAATTTCTCTGTCTTTCTCTTGGAGGACAAACCTCGTCTATCAGAGTAGAATTACTAGGTTCTGTAGGCTTAATCATTGAAATGAACTTCTCAAGAGTTCTTCTTATTCCTACACTTAAATTCAATTTTTCTAAATCTTCAGGCTTACAATGTTTAAAGGAATCGATATTCCTGCCTAATTTTTCAATGATTAACTGAATGTCTTGTTCACTAAGACCTGCTAATCTTAACTTAGTTGTCCACTCAGGTACAACAAATGAATTGATGTCATCGACATTCAATCTATTAATCTCATCAAGAGATAATTTAACACCTTCTAAAGCTAAATGAGTAACTACACAGTCTCGAAATCTTTGAGGGATAATGCCCCTGAAAGCAACACTTACCGACCATTTATCCAAGATGGTTGACATTTCCTCTGCTGTCAAATCTGCGATGGATTTTTGTATCTCTACCAATAAATCTGATTGGTTCTCTACAACCCTTGAAGGTTGAGTAGCCTTTCTAGGTCTACCAACACGTTTCCTTAAATTAGCCATTGAGCGAAAACTGGACCGACAAACGGATTCCACACCTTCCGACACACGGAAATAAAAAGCTCTTCCGACAAACGGAAATCACGGGCTATTCCGACAAACGGAGTTGAAACGAAAATTCCGACAAATGGAACAGGTTGAGAATTGAAACCTCAATATCAGTTGAGTAGATTCACGATACTAGAATTCAAAATTTCACAAAGAAATAAGATGGTCACGGTAACAAAACACTAAACACTTTTAGTTGTTGACTGATGTATCACTTTAAAGATGATCAATAAGATGTGGGCGATTGTTTACTAATTTACCAATCCTGCCTAGGTCGCCATTTTGAGGGGGTGCAGTTCTAAATAAATTAGAGCGGAAAGGTTCACCTGAGATTAACTCAGAGATTCGATCTTATCCTCAAAAAATTTTATAAGATCATAGATCAGATTCTTTTGGATCGGAGATCTAGTAATTCACTTACAATCTTACTGATTGAAAACACGCTTTTGAATAAGGTGGAGGAGAGAGAGAGACTTCAATAAACACAATATTTATCTTTATTTTATCAAAACACAAAATTTGAAAATTACTTTCTCAATTAGTTACTGGGGACACTTCATCAGTAAACTTCAGAAAACTTCCTGAAAGACTCCTAATGAATTGGAGAGGGTCAATTGCTTTTATAGCAGCAAGAAAGGAAAAGGAAATGATGATAAAAGCTCTTAGGCTTTGTAAAGCAAAAAAGGGGTTGGTACTTGGAAATTAGCTTTTGTTCCCATGATGAGTATCAATGGTGATTCGAAAGGTTAATTAAAGCTTAATCATAATCTAAGTTTAACTTGAGGGTAAAAATGAAAGTAAATGCAAAACTTTAAGACAAAAGAAAAGTAATTAAGAAAAAGGGATTAAATAGAAGTGAAGAGAGGAGATTATCTAGGTTGAATCTAGAATCCATGGGAAAGGTTAAGGAGGTCAAATTCCTGCCTTACAAAGTTAACCCATTGGGAGAAAAAAAAAGTTCTGGTTAAACCAGGAAACCAGAATTCAATGATTTAGATGATTATTTAAACTTGTGGGAAGAAAATATTTTAAACGAACTGGAAATTTACTATCATGATGATTTACGATTGTGGGATAATTAACCATTGATGATGTTACTATTAGTTAATTAGAATGATAAAAAGTTGGCAAAGAAGAAAAAAGAAAAGCAGAAAGAGAAAACCAGAAAAATCGACAGAGAAAAGAAAAGAAGACAGAGAAAAGTGAAACTGTGTACATATAGTGGAAAGATTCTGGTAAATGATGATGATGATCATGGATCAATAAGATTCCCATGGAATTGTCAGAATCGTTGGTGGAAAAAAACTTCGCTGGAATGATTATCATGAAAATCGTTTATTCTTAAGGTAGACAGAGGCATCAACACTTTTCTACAAGAGAATTGACAATAAGTTGGAAAAAGAGAGTAAAAGAGTAACAACAGTTTTCTGGTCAACAGACACAGAAAAGAACCAGAAACAAATAGAACTCGACTCAGAATCTGATCATGATTGTTGTTATTCTCATTTCATGATAATCATTTCATGTATTTTCTTTTCTTTTTTTTATATAAAATAATTTACCTTTTTTCGTGTTTAATTTCATGTTTCCATTAAATTGTTCCAGAGTTAATTGTAATCCAATTGTCCTTTTACTCTGTGTGTGTATTTGCTAACAATCAACCATTTCTACAATTAAGTTACTGAATCTTGTGATGATCCTTCCTGCTTCAGGTAAGCTTATATTCACCTTAATTATTAATCCAATACAATCAACTATCATCAATGTGATTTAAGATTAAGATAATTAGTTACTTTTGATTTGATTTAAATTGTTCTCAGTTTGCAAAAGAATCTCGGTCAATTTTTGTTCATCATTGATTTCAACATGAAATTCATTAGAATACAGATTAAGCCAATTGGTTTGGTTGAGTGTTCTGTTCAATTCCTGCCAATTTAACTTGACAATCAGTTGATTTAGTAAACGTTAATCAGTTGGAAATGGTTTTAAAATTGTTGAGTGATTTTTAGGTTAACCAATTTCAATATCAATGAGATGTTACTTATCATTGTTTATGTAGTATTGTTATTTTGCTTGCAGCGATCGCCATTGATGATTTAACCTACATATTTACCTTTCGAGTTTCTCAATTTACTAATTGTTAACAATTTCTTTTCTTAATCAACAAAGTGCCACCAGAGACAAGTGCTTTCCTGGGCCTGGTTGCAGTATGTATGGTCGGTTTACTGGTTTTGTATCTTTACCTGAGTAAAAAAGTGTGTTTTTCAAATCTTGGTAACTTCCCTTGTTGTGATGAACCAATTAAGACGGAAAAGTGTAAAATTACAAGACAATTAGGTAAATATTATGATGAACAATTAACTTACAATCAAGTTGCCTGAGTATCACATCATGGACATTGAATATTTTCTGTGACAAAACCAAAATTCGTGTCATAATCACATGATTCAAAATCATCTATTTGATTAAAAGTGAATTTTTTTTATCGATTTATATTCCTACAACACTTTCTCACCACAATTAAAGTTATTACATTAAGTTGATTGCAATTACTTTTCACAACTTTCCATCGATATTATTATGATTATTATTACAAGTTCATTTGGTAATTCAGTTGAATTTTGTCCTCTTAACATGAGTCAATATTAAAATAATATTCAAGGAAAATGTTCTAGTAGATTTAATTTCTGAATCTATTAAATCAACAAAACAAATCACAATCATCGTCATGATTACAATGTATATAAACCTTGTAATCTATTTGAAATATTGTTTTCATGAGATTTATTCACATATTCATGATGAAAGAAATTCAACTGAAAAGCAAAACAACCAATGAAATCATAAATTTCCTGTTCACCAAATCACAAGACAACAATCAAATTTAACTAATTGTTGTTGATTGGCTTCCAAATTTGTCTGATTATTTATTATTCTAAAGTCTTTGTATCATAATGATGATGATGATTATTTAACGAAATTTAAATCAATTGATGAGAGATGATGATTATCATGAAAGTAACAAAGATGATGATTTAAATTACATGTAATAAAATCATGTGATTAACTCAACTGCTCAACAATTAACAATGGAAAGACTAATTTTCATTCATTGAATCAATATTTTTGGTTCCTCATTTCATTAGGCAACCGGAAAAATTAACTTGATTGTTTATTAACGATTAGATAATAAGTACTATTAATCATTGGCTTTACCAATAACAAATATGGAAAATTGTTTACAATCAACTAAATATGATAAATTTTCTCATGTCACATAATAACAATCAATTGATTGTGACAACAACTTTTTTTCCGCATCCTCTTCATCTTATTTCCTTAATTTATCTTCTTAGATACATAATGCTACATACTTTTATCTTCATTTTTCATCCTCATCTCTCTCTCTCTCTCTCTCTCTCTCTCTCTCTCTCTCTCTCTCTCTCTCTCTCTCTCTCTCTCTCTGATTGATGTTCTAGGTTCGAGCTATGGTTATGATGATGTCGAGGAATCATCATCTGATAGCGAAAAGGAAGTTCTTGAGCGATTATATCAACCAGGTTTCGAGGCCAAAGGACCAAGAAGACAATCATCACTTAATAAGAAACATCGTCAACAATTAACACGAAAACCATCAAATAAGAATCTTAATCATCATCATAATAACAAAAAGAATCATAATTGTTGGTCTAATAATGAAAAGAAGGAAAGAAAACATTTAGTTCGTCAATCAACAAGTTCTGATAAATTACTAGAAAGAGGTGATTCGATTAATAGTGAAAAATCTGATCCGTCGAGTTTATATCAAGGTAAGTAATTAGTTAGATCAATTCAATGATCGACTTAGAATCGATTGATTATTTTATCATATCAATTTTCAATCATTTTCGAGAACAGTTTAATCAGATGGATGATTATGATTGAGAACTTATCATGATAAATTATATAACAATTAATGAACAAAAAGCTAATTGTTATTCGTCAATATGGTTTATACAAAGTAAACTTTGGTGATTGATTATCAATATTTAGTCTTAACTGTTATATAGATTTTTGATTTTATTTGTATTGATTGAATTTGATGATAATATGATTGATTTCTGATTACCTTGAATGACTTTCATTTACCATTAACAATAATTTTCTGTTTACTTTTGTTTTGTTCATTTTTCATGTATCAAATCAGAATCATTAAAATGTAGATCATCATTTGATCAAGTTAATAACAATCAACAATATGAAGGTGATCAGACAAGTGAGATAATTAGACAGAATGGTCTTAATTCAAAAGAATCAGGAAATAAGATTGATCTCATTTCGATGGCGGAAAAAGGTAAGTTTGAAAAAAAGAATTGAAAATGAATCAACTGAATCAATGGTCATCTCACATTAAAACTTTTCCTTTAATTGTCCAGGTAAAATCGGTAAAACTGGTTCATTGGATGGAACCTCGAGTTCAAGTGATTCTGCCAGTCAGGATACGGAAGAAGAAGCATTGATTCCCATTTTACATGAAAAAGCGAAACAAAAAGCAGCTGAACTACTCCGTAATTCCTGTGGAACCAATGGCCTAACGAAATCCAATTCAGGTCGAATGAATAAAAAGAGTTATAATAATGCAGGGTATGAGCGTCGATCTGAGGCCGATAGTGAAACAAATAGTAAATCAAGTGATAATAATAACGATTATGTGATGATAAACAATGGCAATGATTCCGTTAAATATGGTTGTCTACAAATTAGCCATGCTTATGACCCACCAAGTCGTAAACTTCATGTAACTGTGATTCGAGGTAGATCAGTACCAACACAGGAAAAATCGGGAAGTAAATTTGTCTATGTTAAAGTTGTCCTAACACCGAATCATAAGTCTAAACAATCAACCAAACCTAAACCCGTTGGAACGGGTGACCCAATTTTTAATGAAACATTCACATTTAATCGTATCGATCCGGAAGATATTCTTAATCATGGAATTCGATATCGTTTATATACACGGGAAAGAATGAGTCGTGAAACTATGCTAGGAGAAGGACATATTTACTTCAGTCATCATAAACCTTTACAACAGGAGACCAGAATATGGCTCACATTGGAACCAAGAGCTTCGATTAATGTAAATTTCAATCGTCACACGAAAATCATTTAATCGATTGTTAATTTTTCGTCTTATTTCATTCTAATTCTTTCGATATAAACAGAAAGCCGATTCAAGATCTGACGTTTCAAGTATCGCTCGAAGTGATAGTTCTGGTTCTAACTCAGAGTCCATATGCTCACCTGAGCTTTTGTTAGGATTAGCTTATAACGGGATTACTGGTCGACTAACAGTAAGATCTAAAAGTTTTTTTCTTTCGAATTTGATAATCGTATTGATCTTTTATATACTTTTTTCGTCTCCGTTTTCGTTTTCGTTTTAGACTTCGATAATTCGAGGTAGTTCGTTGAAAACTGCAACGATGACCAAAGCTCCTGATACTTATGTCAAGGTAATTCTGGTGTCGTCTTCTGGTCAAGAGATTTCCCGAGCAAAGACATCGATTAAAAATGGTCAACCGAATCCAACTTATAAGGAAACCTTTTCATTCCCTGTAAGTCTTTTAATCCGACAGTGTGTTACGATCTTGGTACTAATCAGCTGTTAACTCGTTAATTGTTCAGGTCGCTCTTTTCCAATTACCTGATGTCACCTTATTAGTCTCTGTGTATTGTCGTAAACCGCCTTTTCGTAACGAAATGATCGGCTGGTTTTCATTGGGTCGAAACAGTACCGGAGAAGAGGAGAAATCTCATTGGCTTGATATGAGAGATGTGATTCGCGAACAGGTCACATCCCGTTTAGATCATCAGGTAAATAGTATTTTCCTACAGTTCCGTACGAATATCTCTCTAGCAATATAAATGTGAACTAAATTTTTCGACTTTTTTTTCATATTAAACAGATCGCTCGTTGGCACGTTCTCTGTGATCCATGAAAAAAGTTCAAAGCAAAAAGAAATTGAAACCTTCCAAGAATTGGAATATTCTAAATATTGATCTAATTCTCTATCGTTGTTTATGTGATTTGGAACATGATTGGTTTCGAAACTTATCAATTTTCATCTTCGAAAATCAAAGGGGAAAAATCATTTGATAAAATTGATTTGATTCTAAATTGTGACACAGCCGAAACGCTAATCATCATTCACATACAGAAACGATAAATTTGCTACAATTAATTAACAGAGTTAAACTAATACCAATCAACTAATTAACGGTATTGTTTAATAATTGTTATTAATCAATTGTGTGAGCGAGAGAGAGAGAGAGTAAATTTCCCACCTCATCTATTTTAATTGTCGATTTGGTTTTTTCTAATCAACAACGATCCTAAAGTTATCGTTTAATTAATCACATTCATATATCACCCAATTCCAATTCCAATTACACTTTGACCCTTTTACCCTCAGGCAATTGAGCAATTCCTTAAAAAAATTGTCCAATTGCGATGATTGAGATTAATGTGTTTTCTACTAATCTGGAAATGAATCAATTTCTTAATTAACGAATCACATTGACAAATTGTATGGAGATTTAAATCCAAATCACTGAGAAACATTAATTCACTCACAATTAATTCATATTCACCAATTAATCAACCCTCCAAATTACCTGTAACCCTTTCTCACCTTTAATCCTAATCCTTTGATTAACTTAATCAAGTTAATTGTAAGAAATATTAACAAAATTGCTAATAAAATCAAGTCAATCAATACGTTCCTTGTTAATTTCTGCCAATGATTGACAGTTGGTTTTAATTGCAATTTGCTAATATTTACAAAGAAAACCCTTTTGGCCTTAATTCCCAATTTATATACTCACAATTAACGAAATTGATGATTTTCGCTCCAACAATTAACTCTCACATTCTCAATCAACATGAAAATAATGAGATAAACAAGAAACACTATCGATTATATAAAAAAATATATTTCGTCACAAAGTGAACAAAAAAAAAACGCAAACAATTTGTTAATTACGATGACCAGCATAATAGATATTTAATTATATACATTCAATATTGATTATGTGTAAAGATTAATTAATTTAAATGACCAATGGGTAAATTGTGGAAATGGTCAGTTGATATAACAAGAAAATTGAAAATCTTTTTACTTATCAAGTCTTTTTTGGTGCATATTTAATTAACAAATTGTTATTAATTGTTAGGAACAATTTTAATGAAACTCTCTTTTTAATCAACTTCCAAAAAAGTTAATCTAATCCATAACAATTAACTAATTCCTCATCCCGTTTCATTCAAATGATTATTACCTTTGTTATCATTATTACTTAATTGTTATCGTTGTTGATTGTTAATTGCAACTTATTTCATCATGTTTATTGTTGACTAATTGTGATTAACTGATTGAAAAGTTTATTCTTTCAGAAAGTTGTGAGTTAATTGTTGGTTAATCAGAGAGATAATTTGATTTCAATGGAAATCGTATTGATCAGAATTGATTAACTTTCGATTGCATTGGAAAAAAATTAAGATAATTGTTAATCTTTTTGTATTAATCAGTTTACCAGGTCAACAATTAAGCTCTAATGGTGATGAAGATTTGGTTGCAATTAACAATTAATCGTAACGAGATGAGTATGATAATAATGATTCCGATAATAATCAAACTAATTGTGACTTTAATCATCACCTCATTCAATTTAAACTTTAATTTACTTGAAAAAAAAACCAAACAGTTTAAAACTAATTAACAATCTGATTGACAATTAATTAAGTAATTACAATGTTATTATTATCCTTTAGTATAATTAGTAAACAAGAATCAAAAAATCGTTTTCTTTTCCGAATCACAATTTAAATTACCGATTCTAATTGTAATCAAATGATCAAAATTAACAGTTTACTCTAATTTAGTTAATTAATAATGATGATTGTTTGCAATTTAGTCACAATTTAATAAACAATTTGATGCAGACAGAAAAAGACATTTCAAATTGACCAAGTCCAAATGAAGAGTCTAATTTAATTGTGATCTAAATCTATTTTTAATCAATGTCATTTTAAATTGTCAAACAAAAAGATCCTGTTAATTGTCACCTTTTTCCGGTTAATCGTTTCTTAATTAATCCACAATTAATTTAAACTCTTTGGTTTCTCATTACAATTAAAACTTGACGCAACTTTTTTTTCTCGTTCTTGAAAAATATGAAATTAATTTCTGCCAATTTAATTAACTAATTGTTGAAAAGTTAATTACTTACAAAACATAATTTAGCTCTAGTCAAACCTTGATCAAAATGATTTAATTACTATGTTGATTGTCTTTCCCTTTAAATCACTCAAACAGTTGTTCAATTAACCCAATTAATTAAAACAAAACAATACACAACAGATTCTCAGCTGATTAAATGATGAAACTTATTAATTAACAATTAAACAAATATTTCTCCCCCTTTTAGACTGATTTGGATCCAATCAGAGCAATTAAATTAATTACGAAACTTAATTGTTATCATTATATTATTTTTTTCCAATTCTGATAATGTTTTATTTGCCGATTTGATTTAAATGATATTTAAGAAAATTAATAATAAAAAAAATCGTAAAATTAATCAAAACTTTTTAATTGTCAATTTAATCTTAATCTAAATCAACAAATCCATTGACCACTTGATTAAAATACATAAATCAACAGTTTGGACGGATAATCGGATTTAATCAACTTAATCAGCTTTTTATTTGATTTGCTTTTGGGAGGATTTTTAAATTTAGTACTTTTAACTATTTAAAATTGACAACAATCAATTTACAAGATTAACAGATCTGGATAAACTAATTAGATTTAATTATCGGTGATTTTAAAGTTCAATCAGATTAAGATACATAAGAGTTAAGTGAATTAACTTTAAATTGAAAAGTGAAACAATTTAGAAAATTAAACTTTAAATGAAGCAAAATAAGATCAACACAAACGCAATTGGAATCGATTAAGATTCTTAATTACAATTAAAAATTGATGGTCTCTCTCTCATTGATTGTCTTAAGCTAATCACGGTAATTGTGGATGAAGTGATTAAATAATCTGAGAGGAAATGAGATACACAATAATTGATTAGTTGTTAATTAATTAACATAAGATACAAGCAAATCAAATTGCGAAACAAGAACAAAAAATAATATTGAAGTAATTGATCATCAAATTTCATTCATCAACAATCTGATCATTTCCAAGGTTTTGATTTTAATTGTAATTAAACTTAATTAACTCACTTTGTCACTATAATAATAAAACTGATTGTTTTTTTTTCTTAAACATTAGATAAACAAATTATTCATTTAATTAAACAAATGATCTCTGTGTTTGTGTGTATGTGTGAATATATGTGTGTAGTATGTGTGGTTGTGTGTGTGTGGTTTTTGGATGATTGTGAACAAGATCAGCTAATAAAGACTTTATCTTAATTAAATTGATTAATCACTATGATCTGTTAATGATTGACGAACGATCAGGCCCCACACCAATCCATCTCACTAAAGAGAGAGAGAGAGAGAGAGAGAGAAAGAAAATGTTATCAAATTAAACATCCGCTTACAATATCTACCATGAAATATCACGATTAAGAATCGATAATCAAGGTTGATTGTAAAACCATTAGAGAGAAATCAATTAACTTACCAGGTACACCACAAAGCTCCTCGATTGTTAGTATATACCTTTGGGCTTCTAAAGGTAATTCTGAAAATTTTCTACAATTGCTTATATTTTGCTTCCATCCAGGAAGAGTCAAGTATTTAACATTAACCTGCTCTAAATCACAAGCATTTGCTTTGAAGAAAAAGAAAAGAGAATAAAATGAAAATTTAGATTTCGAATCAAAATTATTAAAGATTATTATATTCTACCTGGTGGGCTGAGCAAAGTTTTCCCGTTAATTTCGTATTCTATTCCAATTTTCACTTCATCGAAAGTGTCCAAAATATCTAACTTGGTAACGGCGAAACTGTTTGCGAAAAAAAATATAAGAAAAGCAAAATATAAACAGCAATTCAATGGAGAGAAAATAGAAGTAATTAAGTAATTAGCTAATTAGACGATTGTTCTTTTATATAACTTACTGTGTGTAACCGTTGATCATATTGGAATATTTTAAAAGAACAATATCCAACCAACCACATCTTCTTTTCCTCTTGGTGGTTACTCCAATTTCTTTACCACGCTCTTGAAGGATTATTCCAATTTCATTGTTTTGTTCCGTTGGAAAAGGTCCATCTCCAACTCGAGTGCAATAAGCCTTGACAACACCGTAAACATCACAAATTAATTTTGGAGGTAATCCAAGGCCCGTACAAACACCGCCAACAGTACAATTAGATGAGGTAACATAGGGATAAGTACCAAAGTCAATATCCAACATGGTTGCATTGGCACCTTCAACCAGAATAGTTTTACCCGCTTTAATACTTTGATGGAGAAATGTAACAGTATCTTTAACACAATTACGAATCTCTTCAGCATAACGACGATAATGTTTAAGCTCTTCGTCAACATCAATATTTAAATCAGTAAATTGCTTCTGATAGGTAATAACAAGGGATTTAAATTTCTCTTCAAAATTACTAAAATCACCTAAAAGATCAGCCATCCTAATACCAGTTCGAGAAACTTTGGTTGAATATGTTGGTCCAATACCTTTCCTTGTGGTACCTAAACTTTTTTTACCCTTTTCCTTTTCTTGTAAACCATCAACCGATTGATGGAAATCAAATACCATATGAGCTCGATCGGAAATGATCAATTGTTTCTTCAAATCAATCAATCCTTTAGCTTCATTACGAGCAATCTCATCAAACAATTGTGGCAATGAGATGACAACTCCATTACCAACCACAGCGGTACAATTTTTGTTAATTATACCACTGGGTAAGAGATGGAAATCATATTCTGACTCACCAACCACCACAGTGTGTCCAGCATTGTTACCACCCTGAAGGACAAGAACCATGAATCACAGAAAAGAAGAAGAAAAGAAAAATAGAAAAAGAGAAACATATTAATAAAGACACAAACATGGAGTGAGAGAGAGAGAGAGAAAAAAGAAAGATAAAAAAGAGAGGGAAAGGTTAAATTGAGAAGGTTAATTGAAGAGAAACATTCAACGAAAAAGGTAACCGGTAAAAGAAAAAATTGGAAAAGAGAATAGAAAAAAAGAGAAAAAGAGAATAGAAAAAAATAGAGTTAAACTTACCTGACATCGACAAACGATGTCAACCTTATCTGCGAGAAGATCAACAAGCTTTCCTTTACCTTCGTCACCCCATTGAGTACCAAGGACGACATTTAATGAACTTTTAACATTAGAATCACTCATTCCGTTGCTCGACATGATAATCACTCTTCTTATTATTTTCTCTTCAAATAAACTCTCTCATCCACAGATATGAATTAACTCTGCCTGGAAATGTTTAGCTTTTATTTTCTTCTCTGGCTCAAAGGAACACAAGCTCAAAGGAAGAAGAGAAAAGCTTAAGAAAAGAAAAGCGCCAAATTCAAATTTTTTTTTTCTTTCGAAATTTAATCAAATCAAATCTTCTCATTTAATCGCAATTGTGATTAACAGAAATTAATCTCTTTCGATCACAATTATAATTATCATTGACTCTTATCAGAAATAAGTTGATATCAGTTAATTACTATCATTCTAATTGTAGTAATTAACCTTTGGCAGTTTAATGTTAACTTTATCTTTTGTTGTTTATCAATCAAATCAAATCAATTTCATTTTGGCGATTTAATTGTTAATTGTTATTAGTGATTTATTTTTTTTCGTTTCTCTTTCTCTATGGAAATTTCATTAAACTTGTTTAATTTGATTATCTTTTTGATTTAATTTTAAATATTTAGTTTTTAGAGTTAATATTTACATTGTTGTTGTATGAGGAGAGATAATTGTAACAATTAGTTTAGTGATTAAAACTTGGCTTACAAACTTGGTTGACCTTAATTACTTATTAACTGTTGTTTAATTTTGGATTAATTTACATCTCATCATTTAATTAATTAGCTTATTCTTTCTGGTTAATTTAAACCAGTTTTCTCGTTTTCTACCTTAATTTGTGAATAAATTATTTCCCCAAGCTTAAATTGTTATTAAATCAAACACTTTTTCAAGGTTTAATCATCATCATCATAACAATTAATGTAACAATAAACGTCAACAATTATCGGTAGGAATCATTGATTTACATGAATTCCAGTGATTTTTTTGGCTCATTCAGACTTGTCAACTTATCGTCAAGGTTATTAGATTGATTCAGTTTCCATGGTGAGAATTTAATTTTTTTTCTGTACAACAATTTAAAATTAAAATAGCACAATAATTAGATTAAAAGTCCCACATCTCTTGCGATTATCACAGAAAATACTTGACTTCAAGTATCACAATTTGATTAAAAATCTTCCGATGGTTAAGCTAATCATCTTAATTGTTATAATTGTAATAATCTAATAGTGATTTAAGTTAAACAATCCACTTAAAACAGAAACGATTGAGTTTCGTAGTAAAATCATCGTCATGTTTTTAATTGTTTGTCTCTCATTTTGTGAGATATGATTTGTTCAATTCTCGGCCAATTAGCCAGCGTCTAATTTCACTGGTACCAGCACCGATCTCGTAAAGTTTAGCATCTCTGACCAAACGGCCAACATGATATTCATTTGAATAACCATTTCCACCCAAAAGTTGAACGGCATCAAGAGCGACCTTAGTTCCAGCCTCACCAGTATACAGAATGGCCCCAGCGCAATCCTTGGTAAACGGACTTGTACCTTTGATCTCAACGTTTTTTTGATTATAATAATCGGTCACAGCTCGAGCGACACTGTAAACATATGCTCTTGACGCAGTTAGAGCGACATACATATCGGCCATTTTACCCTGAAGCAATTGGAAGGTACCAATGGCTTTACCGAATTGATTTCGTTGATGAACATAATCGAAAGCAAGATCACAGGCCATTTGCATAATACCAATAGGACCAGCGGCTAAAACTAATCTCTCCTTATCCAATCCTAACAATGAAAAACGAAACAACAACAATTATTAGTTTAATTTTTTCTTCTCCCAATTCCAAACATTACCTGACATTAAAACGTAAACACCATTGTTCAAACCACCGACAATATTTTTCTCCGGTACTTTCACATCTTGGAAGATCAATTCGGCCGTGGGTGACCCTCGCATGCCAAGTTTATCGATATGCTGACCAACGGAAAATCCTTCCATTCCCTTTTCAATGAGAAAAGCAGTAATCCCTTTGTCACTCGTTTTCGCGTAAAGGAAAACAACATCGGCTTCAGATCCATTGGTTATCCAGAATTTGCTTCCATTGATAACATAATAATCGCCTAGAAATCAAAGCAAAACTCAATTAGAATTCATCATGAAATTAATGAGAGAGAGAGAGAAACACCAATGATTCAGCTAATCCTAATTATTACATGGAAACAATTAGATATCATTTTCCACCACAATATGAACAATTAACTTACCATTCTTGACCACATTAAAGGTCACCTATGGTTGATTAGGATTCTTACATTTTAAACAACAATTTAAAGTTTATTTTTAACTGCAATCAATTTAATTTAATGATTATCTGTTAATCACTTCAATTGATTAAACTGTAAATAAACAATTTAAGCAATAAACACTGACGTAAATACTGATTGTTTGTTTAATTAATTATCTATTAATTTTTTCTTCTCCCTAATTGTTGCAATTAAACTTTTCTCATGATTATAATTAAATATAATTACCCTTTTTTTCAGCTCGTGTTTTCATTGAGGTAACGTCACTTCCGGATTCCGGTTCTGACATTGCCAACGAACCAACTTTGGTTCCGTCAATTAATCCAGGTAAATATTTGGCCTTTTGATCATCATTTCCGTTTACGGCGATTTGGTTAATACACAGATTTGAATGAGCTCCATATGAAAGTCCAATAGCGGCTGAAGATCGACTAATCTCTTCCATGATAATACAATGATCTAAATAAGATAATCCTAATCCACCATAATCTTTAGAAACGGTTGGTCCCATTAATCCCATTGATCCTAATTTCTTCCAGAAATCTCGAAATCCGGGATAATGTCCATCTCGGTCCATCTTACCGACCACATCCAGAGGCAATTCTTTGTCCAAAAACTTTCTAACTGAAGACCTTAATTCTGATTGTTCTGGAGTCAAACAATTAAGAGCTGAAACATGATCGGAAATTGTATCGATTGAGAAACGTTGAGATGATATTGAAATGAATCGTTTTCCCAAACACGATAATTGATTGAATTTACTCAACATTTTCATAAGACAATTAAGACTAACAGGTAACACAATTAACTTATTGGTTTTATGGTTTTACTACAAATGATCAATAACAATTAAAAAATAAACTTGTTCATCCAAATTGTTTCATCTCATTTTGTTTTTATCAATCAATAGATATGATAATCAATATTGTCTTGATACTTCAGATTAACATTGATTAAGGTGAAGGAGGTCAATCGTTGGTGATAAAAAAGCTTAATCATTAATGAATTGATTGTGACGTAGTGATTAAGATAATGTAACAATTAGTTAATCGGGAAAGTTGATTATCTTTTTTCTTGTTGCTGAGACTGTGATCAGCATATGAAGATGAAAAGATTTAATTCAAATTAAATTGATACAATTAGTCCATGGAAAATTGATTAACAAAACTATGGAAATCATAACCATTAATTTAATTTAATTCTAACAATAATCAACTAATAGTGAGAAATCAAAACGATGCTTATTGTCCGAGATGTAAATTGCAATCATTGATCTGATTATTATGATAGAGCTTGATTGCTGAGATAGTTTCATCAATTTCAATGGTGATAATTGATTAAATCATTTGTTAAATCATCAACTATCAACCTACAATTTAAGGAGTAATCAAATTATCTTGATATTTATCAAGATGGAGACAAAGTTTCATCTGATTAACACTATTCAGATTTGCCATCGATTGATGTTAATCAACCCAAATGATTAACTAATTTTGTTGAATATTGAAACAAAGTTGAAGAAATGAATTCATGTTAAACCGGTGAAATCATTGGAATTCATGGTAAATGAATTATCTCATTGAATAGATCAATAATCTGACGCAGATTCAGCGAAGCCAAGATTCAGTGAATTGTTTTCATCATTCGACTTGAAATTTTATCTTCTATTTGCCTTTTTATTTATCTATTTTAATAATCAATCTTTTTTTTCTAATTGTTGTCATTTATATTATAGAAATTAAAATCATGATTATTTTTTGATCAGACTAATCAACGATAATCAAATTAATAACCACAACTATGGATTGGAGTAAAATCCTCTGGAGTAAAAGCTTAGTCATTTTACTTTTCATTATCTCAGGTAAGTAATAAAGACAATTGATTTTAATTTAATTGTAGAAAATTGCAAAATAATCTAATCAAGTCTAATCAACTAAATCTCTGCTCGCACCTCTTTGATTACTATGATTTAGGTTTAGATTGTGCTGGAAATAAGACAAAATCAAGTAAATCCAAACAAAAGGTAAACGTTTGTTGATACATTTTATTATTATTGTTGTTGTTTTCTAATTTGATTTAATTTCCAATGTTAATCATTTAGGTAACAACAATTAGTAGTGATCAAGAGGAATCGAAACAACAATCAAAATATCAGGAAATTGCTCCAAGTTTCACTTTCGCTGCTTGGGACGATTATGGTAAAATTTGTATCTTAGCAAAATTTGAAGCCACTTTTACCGTTACATATGAAGCTACTTCAGGTCGACAGGTAAGTTTGATTATCTCAATATGAATCAACAAGGAGACACTTGATTAACTGATCATTTTGTTTATCTTTTTCTGTTTCTTTGCTATTTGATTGTAGCAATTAATTGCTAAATTACCTCGAGATACTGAAACAAGAGGAAGATGTGCCAGTCTACTTGATGACAATCCAATATTGGACATTAATTGGAGAGGTGGATTCACCTTCCGAATGGTTTTCAGTAGGGTGAGTTTAAATTGTTCATTTTATTAGTATTAATGATTTGGTAAATTTTATTACCTTTGATTGTTATTGTTTTCTCATTGTTTGTCATCAGTTTCATTGATTAACTATGTCATCATTGAATTAATTAAATTGTTTTAACCATTTTGGTTCAGCATGAAGCAACTAATTCTTGGGGAGTCAAAGGAATGGACTTTGTTTATAACACAAAAGATTCAGCATTCACCGAATCAGTTGATGGTTAGTTAACTTGTAACAATTAACAATTTAATCGCAACAATATCTATTTATAATACTATTGACAATTATACTATTAATTTTCTCTCTCTCTCTCTCTCTCTCTGTCGGATTTTTTTTTCAACAGGAAGAGAAATGATCGCTCGAAGTGATCAAGATTCATTGAAACAATTCGAGACCCTAATGAGTAAATCGTATTATTGTCCAAGTCCATCGATAATCAATATGTACACTAGAGATGGTGAAAGAACCGTTATTCTGAGGATGTCAACTGTTCAACTTCAAGCCTATCAAATTAACAATGGAAAATTTTCTCCAAGTAATTAACCAACTAGAAAGAGTACATTATGAAAAATGAATTATATTAATTATCTATCAATATTTTCTCTAGTGTCTCGTTGTGGGTTAGTTGGTTTCGGATCAGGGGTAATCGCCCCTTTCTACCTGATGGGCTATCATGAGGATGATAGCGCTTCCATGATCGTTGGTGTTATAACGATATTTGTTTCCGTTGCTACTGTCGCTGGTTATGCCGTTTACCGAGCTTGGTTCATTAAGAAAGTAGATTATGATACAATGATTTAAACGATTGCAATTTAATTCCATCAATAGGAATTATCATTTTGGAAACTCAACCATCTCATCGATTTCCTTTTCCGTTTTCCGTTTTCTGTTGCTTCCTATTCACCAAAACTTTAATCATTTCCCTCGAAATCTAATCACAAATCGAGAATGAAACAATTTAAATGGTCTTTCAACACATTATACATATTGACAATATTTCGTCCAAAGACAATTAACTAATTGCTTTCACTTGACGTTCTCCTAATAATTTTGTCTTAATCACTTCAATTGATTACCTAATGTCTTTCAAGAAATATCATCATCATCATCATCATTATCATCTTACCATGGAAAAGTCTTTCATTCTGATTATTTGGACTACAATTAGTCACAATTAACTGTTAACCAGAACAATTTATCAAAAAAAAAGCAACCAGATTAAGTCTTTCAAAGTTAAATTAGATGAAAACTAATTAAACTAATTAAAAACCTAAGCAATCAAATCAAAGGCAATGATGTCTTCCAATTTTTTCATACATCAAGACAATTAATCATCTTAATCATTACAATATGAATCAAATTAATAGTTGTAATCAACATGAGAGACAAATCATTAATCTTTTCATTGGAAACAATTTGTTAACTAATGTTTTTTGTTCAAGTGTTAGTGTGAACTGTTAATTTGATTTGATAACAATTAAAATTTTAATTCAATTTGAATGATAAAAAAATATAATTTAAATTGATTTTAAAGTTCAACTTTACAATCAATGTAATCGTTTTCAATCAAATCAGATTAAAGTAAAGTTAATTGATGAAAACCAATCAACTAATTAATCTCATCCGTTATTTAAATCCTAATTTAGTGATTGTTTAATCACAATTAGTTGGATATATTTACTTTTTTTCTGGTTTAATAGCCTTAAATTAGTACGGAAATTGTGAGATGATGATTTAGATTAATCTAACTAATCACTTCATAGATTGTTGATTAACAATTAGACAATAATGGTGAATAATTTAACAAAGATTAAACCAAATAAGGTGATAAATCAACAATTAGTATAAAAGTATCACCTTATTACCTGTGAAAGGTAAATCATTTGACTATTTATTTACTGACAACAATTAACTTATTGTCATTTGAATTCAAGGCTCGATAAATATATTTGCTAAACAATTAACGATCAGTTAACCTTAAATAGCTAAACTAACCTAGAAAATTATGTATAAACAATCAACGGAATTGAACAATCAACTGATTAGCAAGTTGATTAACATGAAAGGAATAGAAATGAAGAAGAGATGAGAAAAAAAAGTTCATTGATATTTTGGGAACAATTTAAATTGTGATAAGATTTAATTCTTGACTCACTCTACCATTCTAGATGCACAATTAATTCCAAGAAACTGGTTAATTTAATCACAACAATCAAGAGATTTCTTCATACTAATCAGTTGACAAAATGTTTTCCCAAAGGAAACAACAACAACAACAACAACAAGAAAAACTGATTCCAAAATTGTAATCAAATTTGTCAATCAAAAATGTTTACTAATCAGTTAATCATTTTACTCTTGTGTCCACTAATTATCAACTGTCAACTTGATTGTTGTAAACAAAATCCAACCCGAATGACAATCCAATCAATAATTAAACAACCATCACCTCTAATTGTAAACTCTCAAATAAAACCAACAGAAATCCAATCAGATCTAAATTCAAACAATTCCCCAATCCAATCATCATCATCATCACCATCATCAACACAACCAACAACAACAATTAACGATGAATCAAGAAAATCAATTAGTAAAATAAATTCCTATGAAATGATTCCAATGATTGAATCATCAGATTGGACCGATTATCCATCAAATTATCCTGCATCTTCATATTCACCAAACAATCAACACCAACAATTAACACCAACTTATCACCGATATGATTACAATAGACTCTCACCCTATCATCCATCATCTCATCACTATCCACCACCACCACCACACTCCCACTCCCCACCTTCATTACCATCATTCCCAATTCATCATCCACCCTTTGATTTACCTGATTTACCTTCATCATCAAGTAAATCACACATTGAGGAAATCGCCTTGTTCATTGTTGTTTTAACCATCGCTGGTTTATTTGGTTTATTAATTGCTATGTTCATACCATTTATATTGTTACTTCAAACTAATAAGGCAACACTGATTCCAACTAATTCAATTGTCCCGAGCAATCAAGGAACAGGTAGTTCGCAAGGTTTAATTGGTAAACGTAAGAAACGCAATTTAATTGAAAGTTTACAAATTTTAAAATCAATTCATGAAACATCACAACGATATCAACATTAATTACTCTCCGTTTTTGTTTAATTGTCTTCAATACAAAATCAATTGCTGTTGAAGAAAAACAAATTATTCACTTAATTGTGATTACTTTTAATTATCATTATAAAGAGGATTGTTTTTTTCATATCTTGTTAATTGATTAGTGCCAAACATTTTTGATTGTTAATAAAAATATTTTCATATTATTATTGTTGCTGTTTGTTGTTTGTTAATCAATTGATTGATGATCAATTGTTAAAATCGTGAAAATTATTATCAATGATTTAAATTTGATTTGATCTCAATTTTAACCAATTTAGGTAAATCAAAAAGAGTTAATTGTAATTGTAATTGTAATTGTTTTCTCTTTCATTCATTTTGATTGTCAAGTTTGGTATTGGATTGATTTCCGTAAACAAATGTTGATTATTATCATTATTTTGATTATTACAATGTAACAATCAAATCAACCCAGAAAAGTTAATTGTTGTTGACTTAATTTATTGATCAATGATGTTTCAGAAAAGGAAGTTAACTCTTAAATCAAAAATAATTGACAGCTAATGATACAATCGTTTTTCATTGTATTATTGTAATATTATGTTGATTGTAAGAAGTAAATTAAAGTTAATTGTAATATTGAGTTGCAATTATAATTAATAAATTATCTTGACAATAAACCGAGATTTTTAATTATATTTTGTTGGTGTTTTCGTAACGTGATTAACTATGATAATCAACTAACAACAGCTTTTTCCTGTTTCATTTGATGCAATTAATTGCTGGCGAAAAGAATCAAACTTAATTGTAATTCCAACTGATTATCAAGTTTAGTCACAAACATAAACAATTAATCATTTTACGGTTTGTTTTTATTCTGATCATTCAATTGATGATAATTCAGTAGCTCCGGAAATGGAGATGATTGTTTTTTCACCTTCCTTTTTAAATGACATTAGTTTGATTGTTTGATTTTGTTTATAACAATTAAATCATAAATCAATGGGAATGTTTGTGTTTTATTATTGTTGCTTGTTTCTTGTAATAGAAATCAATCTGACAATTACAATTAGTATATAATATCATTGGAAAATTGAGTTGGAAACATTTTAAGCTTTTTTCTCTTTTGTTAATTATTATAAAAGTAATACCAAAAAAGGTAAACAGGTAGAGAGAATAGATAATTAGAAGATTAGATTTGCTCTTTTTTGTTGTGGAAATGTAAACAAAATGGTGTAAATCATATTGTTTGATGATTGTTGATTATTATATTCTGGAATTCTGTTGATTTGTTTGATGATATTAAATTGTTGTCAGATTATTGGGCTGCTTGTTTCTCCTCTTCGATGACATCCTTTGTTGGAAGGACAATTTTCTCTTGGGTCTCTGTTGGCTTTAATTGAGCTTTAGCGTCAAAATTGGCGATTCCTTGGAGCAATTCTTGTTGAGCCTTTTCCGATTCAATGGCCTCTTTTGAGGGGAGAACATTTTTCTCCTGAGTTTCAGCGTGTTTCAAATGATGTTCAGAAACGATCTCATTTTTAAGCTCATCGCCGATGGTTTTAAGATCATCTTTAGTTGGTGAAGACATTTTTCCTTAAATAAAAAAGAACCGAGATATTGAGACACAGAAGAAGAAACAGAAAACACACGACAAAGAGAGAGGAGAGTAGACACACCAAAAGAGAAAACCACTGAAGAGATTAAGAAGAAAAGAATTTAAAATTCAAGAGAATTGCGAAAAACTGAAAGTCAATCAAAGAGATTTAACAAAACAAGAAGAAGAAGAGACAAAAAGTAAATTGAACAATTGAAAGGAAGATTAATTGTTGATTTTAATCACAATTTAGAAAAATCGAAACTACCGATCAAGTGAATTGATTGTAAATAAATTGAATTTTGCAACACAAAAAGATATTTAAAGAAGAATGAGTTGAATTGCCACACCTCTTTTTCTGCCACAGGGTGAGTTAAACTTTCGCAAGGAAGGGGAAGCGAAATTAGAATTGCGTAAAAAACGAATGGCGGCAAAATCAAATTCTATTAAATTCTAATCTAAAACCATCACAATTAGTTAATTACTGTTCTTCCTGAAGTGAGGGAAGCGCAAATAATTAACTTCATGGGAACAATTTGTTTATTTAACTGTATTTCAATCAATCAACTGATTGGGGGTGAATAGATTTTCTCAACAATTAAAAGTGAAAAATATTAATAACATAATTGAATTAGTAAATGTTGATTAATTATTAATAGTTTTGAGTGTTTGATAATAATCAAGATAATCAAGCTCTTAATCATTTGTTTGTCTTTCAATGTTAATCAAGGTTTTAATTTGGTTTTGATCATTAAACAGCTATTTCTGTCTCTTATTGTAATTTATTAGTTGATTCAATTGCGTATCAATTGTTGGAAGGGATAAACAATTAATTATTCCCTCTCTCTCTCTCAGTTAATTTAGCAATTCATCTGATTCAGATCCACCCTGACAATTACCCTTAGATGGTTAATCAACAATTAAATGACTAAAAAAGACAACAAGTGAAAAGTTATAACATTTATAATCATCATCATTGAGTTAATACAATTAAATGATTGAGGAAAATGATGAAAGGAAAAGTTAATTACAATCATGATTATTGATTCAATTTAGATCAACTTTTATTTAGCAAATCAAATGAAATTTACAACTAATCAGCTTCATTAATTTGAGTGCTGTAGTTTTTATATATTTAATTATGTGTGAATTAATTGTGTGATTAGCTTAATGATTAGTTAAACAATCAGAAGATTTTGAATTTTAGATTTGATTTTATGATTTAATTTGAAATTTAAATCATTTGAACAAACTGAATTAACGTTTAATGATTTCAGTTTTCTTGTTAATCTCAATTATTTCATTGAGTACTTTACATGTTGAGATTATCTTTATGATCAGTTAATCAAGATGATTAACTAATCAATCAATATAACACATATTCATGTATTATTATCATGTATATATGGTTGTTTCCAGTTTCCATAATGATCTGATTTGATCGTCGCTCGTAATTGTCAAAATTAATTGTATAACTTTCTTAAATTAATGGGACCTTTCAAATCAGGTTAATTTGGTTATTATTGGAAGAGGAAAATCAGGAAATTAATTTTCTCAATCAATTGGATTTTCGTATTAGTTAAACCAATTGAATTATATTGATTTCATGATCATTGCACTGACCTTCAAGTGACCAATCATTTAACTTCAGGTTCAAATATCATAGATGAACAATTATTAATCATGATGATTGAACATGAGATTAAAATCAAGTCACAATAATTGAATTGTGTAAATTATTAGATGAAAATTGATAATGATTTTTGGGAGATATTAAATTAATAGATTAGATTGAGCAGTCCCTTGAACAATTAGACAGAAAAAGGTTAATTAGTTACATTAGGTCATCTCTGTCTCTTTCTCTCTCTCTCTGATTGATTAACGGGTAAAAGCTTAACTAATACAATTAACACTTTGGAAGGTCAATCGTTGAGATTAACGGTTTAACTAATGAAGAGAGAGAGAGAAAGAGAGGAAGAGAGTTGTTAGTGTTGATTGACCATGATCATCATGGAAACAGGAAAAATACATGAGTTAATTTAATCGGAATGTTAATTGAATAGAGTTAATATCCATTGAGTATATGTCCATTTGAGAATTGGCAACCTTTGAGTTCTGTAAATATTTCGGTAAAAAATGCTGGCTCACTGTTGATTCGTAGCATTTTACCACTGAGCATATTGATTATGAGTAAACATCGATCCCAGAATTTATCCTTATTATCAGTTTCCACCAGGAAAGGTTTCAATGGATAAGATATTTCATTTCCCATGTAAGCATATGAAAGATAAAGACAAGTTAAAACTGTCGCTTGAAGTTCACATTCAGAGTCAACATCCTCTCTGATTAACTCTTTCAAAAGCATATAAAGGAATACAACATTGGCTGGATTAATGAAAGCAATATCCTGGATTAAGAGAGAGACAGAAAAGACAGAAATTAATCGTCACAATCAAGCAGAAAACAAGACCAAATTCCAAACGATTAACTAATTGTTCCAACACTTACCTGCCATCCTTGTAAGAGTAGCGATCGGTCAACGGCTCGTAGCCACATAACTGCATCGCCCGATTGAAAGCTTTTCAATTTTGGACATCGTTTCAATAAGAAATCACCAAGACAACGGAGTAATTCAGACGTTGAAGCCTTAAATGAAATGGAAATGATTAGCAATTAAGAAACAAAGAAATGATAATTAGCATCGGATTATCAATAGAAAAAGTTTCAAATCTTCTAGTCAATAGATGGCAAAGTTAATCAATATTGATTATGTGCTTTTCTGCCTTATTTTCATCACTATCAGAAATGATTAATTATTTTCTCGACAGAACAGTTAACAATTAACTTGACAAATTTAAAAGGTGAACATTTAATAACAGATCAATCAATATAATGACACTTTTCCAGCTAATAAATGATAGTAAATTTAAAGAGAATCAATATTTTCATTTTCTAATGGAAATTGTTATAAACGTCTAACCATAAATTACGATTGATTTTCAATAATCAAATCTGCTCAATGGTGAATCTATTTGTCACCATGTTAATTCATCATTATCCTAATTGTTACCTGATTTTTTTTTCGTCCAAACTAATTATTATAATACATTGGATTGTAACCTTGTTCTTAATAACAATTTACCATTTTGTATCTGAATTCAAGTTCATTTTTGGGTGTCACGCAATTTCCTTCATTGTCATCATCATCATCTTAATCATTTCCACAATTAGATGTGATAAGTGGTCTAATACCAGAATAGTAATCAAGGTTGATTAAGGTCATTAAGCAAATCATCATAATAGTTAATCCAATGATTATCAATCTAAATGAAAGTTTTTTTTTCTCGTTCTAATATCAAGTCATCAGATTTGATTATCAATACTCCCAAAAGTAGTAGAGCTGAATAATAAGATGAAAAAAGTGATTGAGACAAATTTAGTTAATTATCTTACACATAATTCACTAAATTAGATTACAAATGATTAAGAAGAAATGAGAGAATTAAGAAAATTACTAATTAAATTCTTAAATATATTCAAGGTACATTTTCTAATGGAGATTAGATCAATTCAATTTAAGACTTTTTTTTACTTCTTTTTTCAATTCAATGGATCAACAAGATTATCATTTAAATGATGATTAAAATGTTCAATTAATTAATTGTTAATTCGTCAAAGTGATTGGGAGTTGTTGCTATCACTCCCACTGAGAATTGTCATCAACTAATAATAATAATAATACGATTACAAAAAAAAGTCTGATTGTTGATCAGACTCAGATGAATTAAATTACTACTCATGAATGTGAATAATAATATTGATTAACTTGAGGATTTACTAATTGTGTCCATGTTAATAGTTATATAAAAACAAAAAACAAAACAAATAATATCTCAAAAGTATATGATTAATTAATCTGGTTAATCCTCAACACACATACACAATTTAATCACTAACATTTCCGATTTTGCTATTTTTAATCACAATCAACAAAAATATTAATCTGAACTAAATGTGAATCAGAACCTGAATAATAATATTAACAATTTATCCTTGGTCTCAATAGTTATTGAAGAAAAAAACAAATTTTCAACAACAATTAACTAACCAACGAAACCTTTGATTGAGTAACTATATTAATCTATTCAACGATTGATACTCTAGTTGGGATTAAGAGTAATTAACAATTGGATTAACTTACTTGGATTACTGTTTTCTTTAAGTTTTTTCTTGGGCTTATCCGGTTTGGTTCATTTTGATTATTTTGATTACTGTTAATTATATTGTTGTTAGTTAACGTAATCCCGTTTCGTAGGGTTGTTGATGGATTAGGTAAATAGGAGGTACAACTTGGTCGGATTGAGTTTTTGGACAATAAGATTGTTGGTTTTGGTGGTAAGGGTGGACCAATGGATCGGCCTAATGTGATATTAGGCATGATGATATCGTTACGATTGTGATTATTGTTACTAATTGTTGTTAATTTGTTGGTGATAATTGATGAAATTGAAGATGTTGTTGACGTTGTTGTTGATGATGATGATGATGTTGATATCGTGGAAACGTTTGTTGATGAATTAATTAAGGGAACAGCGAGTTGATTAGATGTTGATAAGAATCCATTTCTTTTCTTGTTCATCCTCATATTTTCAATTCCTTTTGATTCCTTAAAATTGTAACCAATGTTTTCATTTAAATTGTTATTATTTAGATTATTATTATTGTTATTAGTTAATTGTCCAATATCTTTAGAGCAATTTTTCACAATTTCAATGTTATTTGTTGTTAATCCCGATTTCAAATTGTAACACGACAATGATTTGGACATTGAATTACGAGTATTATTTTCACTGACCAATGGATGATTATGATTAGTATTATGATTATGGATTAAATTATCAACACAATCCAATGGACTAATTGAATTATTATTATTGTTTATGGTATTCAAATTATTATCTTTACTATTGTTGTTGTTGTTGTTGCTTGAATGGCGATTATTATTATTATTATTGTTATTTTGGTTAATTGTTGACGATTGTTGTTGATTGTTGTTGCTATTTAACAATTTATTTGATCCTTTCTTATCAATTGACATTTTCTCCTTCTCTTTATCGTGTTTATTTGCCGCTTTTTCAGCCTTCTTTTTGGTAGCAATGCTTAAGTGTTTACCCAAATTCAGCGCTGAAATGAAGATTGAGTGTTTTTTGGTTTCTCGCTGTTGATTGTTGTTAGTTTGTTGATTATGTGATTTACTTTTAGCCTCATTTGGGTTATTATCAATCAATCCTTTTGATAGTTTAATTTTACCCGAATGTCGATCGTTAAAATTGTAATTGTTCAGATCGAAACCAGCGACTGGACCAGTTCCAGAACCATCGGCATAAACGACCATCTTACGATCACGGGAAATGCTCATTATCATTCCCATGATTAGTTAATTAGTTGGGTAACTTTTGTTTTCCTCTTCTTCACTTGATTCTAATGGTTTGATGTAAACTAATTTCCCAATTGATTAGTTAATCAAAATCAACGAGACTCTTTTTGTTTGCTTCTTAAAAACAAAAGGGTTACCTTAAATTGTATTGGTCAAACCACTTGATCTGGTCACTTTTTGCTTGTTGATAATATTGATTATTATTATGATAGTTAATCAATTGTTGATAACCGGCACATTGATAATTAACACTTGTGATGATAATTGTTTGTGTGAGAAAAACAAAAAGTGATTAAAAGTCACAATTAAAAGGTTATTATGTTAATGGGATTTTCTTTACTTTGTTGATTTTGGGTTGAATCGGGTTTTTAATTGTTTTGATCAAAATTAAGATGAACCACAAATCTTTAATCATAGTAATTAAAAAGTTAATTGTAGATTATTAAATAACCTTACTCTTGGTTAATTCACAAACACACAATTGTAAAGGTTACGTTTAGTTGGATTATTGTTACTGATTGACAATCATGCTTAGATCATCAATTTAGATTCAACCTTTTTAATCAAAAATGTTAACAATCAAAGTTAATCTTATGATTATTAACTATCTCCAATTACCAATAGAATAGGTAAATTATGATTACAATCAACAACAATTAAAGTAAATCAAAGAAAGAGACATTGGCGACGTTGAAATTGGAAGGCTGGTCAAGTTTGATTAACGAAGACAAATGAAAATTAATTTAGCACAATTAGAGAGTTGATCAGTAGTTTTGAGGGCAATTAATATGATTAAATGAATGATTATTTGAGGAGAAACAATTAAACGAAATAATTAAATTTGGAATCGTAACAATAATAACAAAAAGAAGATGATTTTAATCGAGTAGGAACCAGAATTGGATGAGGGAGATTATCAATTATCGTAAGAATCAAAGATCTTGTAAGTAATCACAATTAACAGAATCAAAAGGTCGTCAATTGGTTTACACAATTTATAATCAGATTGATTGAAAATTCTGTTTCTAAATCTTGAGATGAACTTTTTTTTTCGAGCAAAAAAAGGTTAAGATTATTGTTGGAAGAAAATTCGATGAATTCGAGAAAGAAAAGGGCATGACAATGGAATGATTCAGTTTCTCTTTCGATGATCAAAGTATCACTTTCGATATTTACTGTCGACATTTAATCATCATCTTCGTCTTCGTCATCATGTTCAATATCATCCTCGAAGTCTCTGTACACTTGCTTCTGGGTAAGAAAAATTCTCCACCATTTCTATGGTTACATTCGGATGGAGATTATCGATCCATTGAAATGCTTCGAGTTTAACTTCGCGGGGTCACTTTAATTTTCATCTTCTCTCTTTCTTTTCCTCTATTTATATCATAATCATCTTCTCTCCATCTCCATCCTCATCTCTCTCTCTCTCTCTTCTCCATCCCAATATCATTCCTCTTAAACTCTACTTTTATTGATCCAACATTTTTTACTCATCATCTTCATCTTCATCTCCATCCTCATCCTCATCTTCTGGTATTTCCCTTTCATCATCATCAAATAGACATGCACTCCCTTTTATCATCCAAAGGTGAAGAGATGAACACAAATGCGATGTTAAAACAGATTCCTTTATATTCACTTCTTCGTGTATTATTTTCACTCCCAGTCTTTTTTTCATCTTCGAATTTATCATCCTCATCCTATTTCTCTTCTCACACTCTTCTCTTTCTATCACAATCATAATCTCCATTCTTATTCATTATCATGATCATTTTTCTTGAACAATAATAGAACCGATTCCTTTTTTTATAAGAAAATTTTCCATTTTCTCAAAAGAAATTCATTTATTTGAATCTAAAACTCAATTCAAAATGGAAGCAAAATTAAATCACTTATTCAACGATATTAATTTAGATTGTGATCTTTATGCATTCAATTGAAAAGTAGAAAAGAGTTAAATTAATCTAATCAATGATTCTGATGATAATTATAATGGATGAGGAAAAACGTACAAGATGTTGACTCATCATCTTCGATTAATCATCAACATCTAAGGAAAATTAAAGGAAAAGTCATTGATCCACTTTCGATTGTGATCAATAATCAATTAACTTCCTTTTAATAGGATTATGATTGTTATGTTAATTGTTGCAGTTCCAATGAATCGGTTTCATCTTAATTCTCATTGTAATTGTTACTTACCAACCATATGATTAGTTTGACAGAGTAACAGTTAATCAATGTTATCATCGTAATTTATATAATAATTGTGATATTTTGTGTTTAATTTAAGAGACGATGATAATAATACATTTGATGGTTTTGGTGGAAGAAGATGTTTGGCTTTTACAATTTACCTTTACATCAATTTAAAACAATAAATAGTTAACTATCTCTCGAATTGTTATAATAATCATGTTTGATATTCACGATTTACATTTTTTGTTAAAACTTTTTCTTTCTCGTTAATTGTGTCATCAACAAGTAAACAAACAGAGAATAGTCAATAATTGAACTTGAGAGATAAAATTAAACTAATTGGCAGTGAGAAAAACATCAATTTCCTCTTTCTTCTTATTCTTTATGCCTTAGATTTGTTTCTGATCCTTTGCAATTAAAATGATTAACAGCTGATGATAATAATTATGCTTAGATTATTATAAAAAAACAGGATTAAAATAATCAAATCCAACAAAAGAGAAACATGGTTGATAATGATTAAGTTGATTGGTCAAGCTGATGGGCCAGTTTTACTAATTTATCAAATGAATTACTGATCGTTGCTTGCCATTTATGACCACCAACTCCTTGATCATGATGATGATAACGTGAAGATGATGTTAATGCCGATGATGTTAATCTGCTCGAAACTAAATATAAGAAAAACAAGAAAAACAGTTATTAGTTACACGTAATTAGCATTAAAGGATTACATTTTTGCTGATTGTACAATTTAATCTCAAGCGTAGTTGACAAAATAAAACTAATTCTCATTGGCTTTTGAGTGAAAATCTCATAAGAAGCCAATCATCTTAATCTGTGGTGATTATAAATAAATGACCAATGACAAGAAAATGATAATTAATATAATCATTTGACATTCACAAGAGACTTTATATTCTCAGGGTTTCCACTTGTATTCCATTTATTTGATTTCCAATTGTAGGTTAATGATTAGATGTAAGTGGATACTATTTGCTGATAATTAGTAGATTAATAAGGTTAATTATCAGTTTAATTGACTAGATAAATAAAACTTTCTACTAATTTAACTGCTTGAGTATTTAAATCTACATATTCATAAATTGACTTACCATCAAGTGGTTTGTCATTTTTTAAATTAGATTGGTGAACAGTTGAATCTAATTTATCGTGAGTGTGATTGTTTATGTGGATCGATGAGTGATTAAATTTAATAATTAATGATGGCCGCTTCTCAGAACCATTTGTTTCGGGTACTATTGAACTATACTTCGGAGATCTAACGGAGAAAGGAAGAAGAAAACAAAAGTTAATTAAATTTGGTATAACAGTTTTGTTTTTATTAACAAATTAACTTTTCGTGTATATTTAATAAAGAGATGATGATTAGAAATAATTTCCATAAAGAAATAAATATAATGTATATAATTACCTTGATTTTTTCACTCTTTCGGGTGAAAAATGTTTCTTTTTTGTATTAACATCAAGGTCTTTTGATGCTTTTGATGGGGATTTTTCTGGTGAAATAGATGGTGAAGTAACAATAGCACTGTTATCACGACGATCGATTTTGAATGTTAGTAAAATAGGCTTTTTATCTTCGCTTGGTGGATTATTGGAGGAATTGGAAGCTTTGTTAGAGGAACGGGGTTCAGATACTTTTCGACTTGGTCCAGTTGAAGGAACGGGAGTAATAGAAACATCTTTCATCTGAACAAGTTTAGAAGAATCTTTCAATCTACTGGGGTAATCGGTTTCTGGTGTTACATTTGGAGGTTCATCATCATCAAAATCGTAAATTCCATTACATCTATTGGCAATTTTAGCAGCCTTATTGTTGTCATTAAGCGATTTTGACCTTTTCCGACTCTCCTTTTTTGTATCTTTATTCTCATTTAATGCTGCAACTATCATCTTTTTCATTCTTTCCTCAATGTTGATTAATCGACATGATCCAACATTTGCTTGAGATTGAGCTCGATTTGGTTGTACTGGTTGTTGAAGTGATTGTTGTTGTTGTTGTTGTTGATGGTGATGGGGATGTTGTGTTGATGGTGGTGGTGGTGGGACTTGTGGTTGCTTATGATGTGAATTTGGTTGAGGTGGTGGGTGTTGAATATGGTGTTGTGATTGCTGATGAACATCTTTAACCAGAAAAGTATCTGAATAATTTTTTTCTATGGCAGTGGTGATGTTTGCCTTCTGGTTGGCAGTTTCTTTAAGTGAATTTGTATCCATAATTCCGCGATTAGTTTTCATGGTATTTACATGCATCAGGTTATCATAACTTTTATGCTTTTTTAACGCTGAATTTAAATTCTCGAGGTACTTGACTTGATCTTGACAAGTATTCACCTGTTCTTGGAGATCTTTATTAAGGCAGATTATTTCTCGGGCTTTAGTTACCAGTTCTTCGGAAGTAGCGGCAGTTATATCTAATTCACTCAGTCGAGATTTTAAAAAGTTAACGCCTTTTTCTCGTAATCCATTTACAGTTCGTTCTAAGATTTCTACTTGTGCTAAATGATGAGAGCGTTTTCTCTGCAATTAAAAACAACAAAAAAAGAATACCAAACAATTAATATATACATAAAAAAGTAGAAATATACGATCAGAGAAATGAAAGATTAATTTTTAAAAGAGGTAAATACCTTTTCTGCTTCGATCTCGGTAAGCAGATCGGTTTTGAAATTACGGGTTTGCATAAGTAAAATGAAACTCATAAACTGACGTTTTTGCTCCTCGAATAAATTATCCAATGAAGTTGAAATATTATCCATTAAATGTTTGTATTCTGGACTATTTACATCATTTAAGGGTTTATTCTCACTTTCTTCTATCTCGAAATCAGTGACAACAGCCATACTTTGCTCTTGCTGTTCTTTTGGTGTATAAACATTATTCGGTGGTATTGTTGTCGTTGGAAATGTACTTGATGCTTCTTGCAACTGATTTGGTTTGAGATCAGAATTTTTGATTTCAAAAGAGTTAAATTGTCCAAATCCAAGACCAAGAGTCTTAGTTAACGAAGTAGATTGTGGCGGGATCATAGACTTTTTTACAGTATCTAATTTCTGATCAATACATCCTGGCGCAGGTCCCGTTTTAACAGCAGAAGAATTTGAAATACTCAAAACAGTTTGAGCATGAAGTAAATCCAAACCGTTAAATGTTATTCTCTTATTCTTTTTACTCTTTACACCATCTTTTCGCGGTCTACCAGGTCGACGACGTCCCTCGCTATCGGCTTTGGTTTTATTTGCACGACGAACGACAGCAGCCACTCCTGGTCCATATTTCCTTGGTCTTCCAGGTCGATTGGGAATATTATTGGTACTATTATTATTTGGAACCTGAGAAGCAGAATGGTAACCAGTTTCACTAGAGCTGGACTGTTGAGTATTACCACTTGAAGAGTTTGAATTTTCACGATATTTTGTATTACAATATTCTGACCAGGCTTTACGAGTCGTTGGGCCAACATGATTGGAATCTTTAAAACTCTGATTTGAATCATCAGATGAACTGGAATCACTGCAATTAGTTTTCATTGCACGATCAATTTCATCATCGTCTTTACTATTTATGGCGGTGATGTTATTGTTACTTATATTCTGAACATTATCTTTATTATTTGTGGTGGTATTATTACTACTATTATTATTACTATTGTTGTTTGATTGATTTCGATTCAGGTGCTATATAAATAATTGAAGATAAAATGAAGAAAAGAAAGAAAAGAAAGAAAAGAAAATTATTTTTTTTCAAATTAGCAAAAAAAAATTATTTAGTTGACATAATCGTTAGTTGATAAAGTCTGTGCAGTATTTGACGTTATGAAGGAATAACTTATTGTAGATATTAAATGTCAACAGAAAATAAAAACATGGAAAATTATAATTGACAGTACTTACCTTTTTGGGGCCTCTCATGTTGAGAAAATAGTCTTCCAATTTACGTCGATCAACAATGTGATGATAGTAAGACACAGGCTTACCAGTCCAAGAAACGGAACCTTTGATAGGTTGGATTTCCCGAACATGTAAAATAGTTGCAATATCTACGCATCATGGACATAGTAGAGAGCATGAAGATGAGAAAATAAGAAAAAGGGATAAGAACGGGGGTCAGAGAATGGAGGCAAAGTATGAATCACGATGTTTTGACAAGGAGGGAGAGATTGACATGCTCAATATCGTACATAAGAAAGAGAAAGTGAGAAGATAGAGAGAGATATCAAGTAGGAAAAACTAATTGAGAAAGAGAATTGGGATTCGTACTTCCATGCTTATGAGAGAGAGAGAAAGGAAAAAAATGTAAACAAAGATGTGTGCATACCACTTAAATTACGATCGGTTATTCTAAAGTTTGATGGACAAAATGATTTTGATGAAACTATTCGAGCACCATCCTTGAGATCAGCGAAGAGTAATTTTAACATATGATCCACATTTGGACCAAATGCAAAGTTATTCACAAAAATGAACGAAGCGTTGGTAATTATTTCTCTATATTTATCCTCGAAAAAGTCACCTCTTACTAACTCGTAATCGCCAGATACTTTACCATACCAGCGCATCCAAAATTTGAACGATTTTTCCAATTGCTACGATAAAAAAAAGCACAAATGTAATTATTACGTTAATAAGAGAAAACTAGAACGGACAGAGATGGATATCAAATTAAAGGGAAAAATTATGCAAATCTAATTACTTGGGCATAAATTGTTGGTACTTCAGCTTTCTCGATACCAATACATTTTTTGGCTTTAGTTGAGGCAGCTATTTGTAAGACAACCTGACCAACACCAGATCCCAGATCAATGAAAACATCATTTTCTGTGATGGATATTTGATCAATCATTTGCATTATAAATTCAAATGAGGTTTCCCCATAAACTTCAGGTGAAAAGGGTTCATAATTGTTTAGTTTATCAGGATCAGTAACCGCGTGATTATAAGCTTTTTGGATAATGTGTCTCAGAAGGCCTACAGATGGACGAGTAGGTACTGCAACTGGTAAAGATGTTCCAGCTCTCTAAAAATGTTACAAAAGAAAAGAAAGGTAGATAAAGAAAGAAGAGGGAAGAGAGTTAAAAGAGAATATAAGAAGAAAAAAAAGGAAAGACAGGACAAGTTTACACACACAGTGAGAAGGGGGTTGAGGGTTAAAAAGAAAAAGAAGAAGGAGAAGAAGAAGAAGAAGAAAAAAATCAGGTATAAGAGAAAAGAAGAGATTTTTTCATGAGATTACAAAACCAAAAGTACGAGGAAAGAAAATTAAAATGGTATCAAACTGATGGTTGTTCTATTTTGTCCAAATATAGACTTACCATTTGACGAACTGAAGCAATTACCCGATTAAACCGATCACAAACAATTTTCATACTTTCATAGCTTTTAAGATCACAACCAGAAAGTATATGATTATCAAGGGCCAGTTTCATTTCCGGGAAATCATCACAAACCCATTTGATGGTCTCAATAATTTCAAGCGCACCTTCACCTCTGGCCTTGTCATCAATGGGCCAATAATAAACACAAGGGTCGCCATGAGCAGGCGAATGTAAAATCAATTCCTGCATATCAACTTATCATATTATTTTTGGCCTGGAAACAAATAAATTAAAACAATTTACTAATCAAAAAAAAAGTCAACAACCAAACCAAAATCACCACTTTCTATACATGAACCTGGCGGTGTAAAGATCAGTTACTTAACTAAATTGTTCTTCTCTGGTTGCGCCATCTGGTGGGGAACATTGGACTTCATGTGTCATTCTTTTGATTTTTGTTCATTTTGAACAATTTAATTAAATTAGAAAATTTTATTGTAACAATTAAATTGGTTCTGTTTTTTTAATATGATTTCTATAAGGATTTAATTGTTGATTGAAAATGAATCTCTTTTTGTTTGGGATTGTTATTTTTTTTCTCATTAATTGTGATCAGTTTAATGTTTTCAATTTTATGTATAAAATTTCAAATTAACAATTAACTTTGTTGTTGTTGTTGTTGTTGAGCAATTTGTGATTAGTTTGATGATTTAATTATCATGCTCTGGGTTTAATACTTTGGTAATATCTTTAATGGTTTCCAATTGTTTAATATCAATTGTCGATCCACACATTGGACAAACGGGTTCACGATTTAATAGCCTGGAAAATATTGATTATATTGATGGTTGTGATTTAATTGTGATGGTTAAAAATTAAATTGGAAAATTTAACTTACTTGATAAAGTTTGTTTTCAATGCTGGAAATGAACATGAAGGACAAACAGTTAAATCATCTTTAATTATGTGATGACCAGTGGCAATACAAAAAGGGATATTGTTACGACAATCGAAGCAGATTAATTCAGTTTCCAGTAATTTAGCGTCACAATAAGGACAATTAGTTAATTTTCCAATGATCGAATCTCCGGTTTCATCTGATTCTCGTCTAATTGATGCTGATTTACGAACTAATGTCTCAAATTTTCTTCGAAATTTAGAATCAATTTGATCTCGATATTCGGGCTTCATCAACATGCTCGCAAATTGTAGTGCTTGTTTTTTAAATCCAATTCGTTGACATTCAATAATTGTCGTTGTTAATATCGGCACAATATCTGGAATGAGAAAGAATCAAGAATATCATAATAATCTATTAGAATTCTCATCAAAATCGAATTGATCAACTTACGAGTTGGAAATTTACTGATGTTATTTGAAACTCTAATCAAAAGTTGAGCACTACGAAGATGATCATCTAATTTAATCCAAGTCTGAATGGAAATTATTTCAACAATTAGCAATTATCGAGAAACAATTCAATTAAATTGACCAAATTGACTTACCTTTGCCAAGAGATAACTATGAATAAGCATTAGAGTTAAATCCATTTCCATTGGAACTTTAATTTTCTGTCTTCTTAATTCCTGACACATTCCAAACAATAAATCATGAGCATTTCGATAATTACCAGCTGATTGCTCTTCTTTCGCAATTATAACCGCAGTTCGAGCAGCGTCTTTGAACTGTCCCAACGCCATGTAAAGTCTGAATAGATACTTGAAATCCTTTGGTTCACCATCAGGTTCACCCATAAGATAATCAATCAGATATCTAATCGCTTGATCATCACGATTGATTGAGACAAAATCAATAGCGATCTTAATTGCCTCACCAACATCACCAGTTATGGTCGCTGATTGTAATAACAATTTAACTCCTTTCCTACAATTACCCGATAAACAGTAAAACTTACCAGCCATCAACGGGTTTTTTGATTGCTCATAATAAATGGCCAAACTTTTAAAATCTTCAACCAATTTACTTGCAAATGGCTCTTTAGCTGGTCCATTGTTTTTTGATTGTTGCTGATCAGTTAAATCAAGTAAGAAATTAGCGAAAATATCAACATTACCTGTTGAAGTTGCTAATTGAAAAGCTTCATCGTTACACTTGGAAAGGATTAGAAATTCAATCGCAGATTCGATATCGTTGATCTTTTGGAAAAATCGAGCGATCATTTTAGCTCCTTCTAAACTACCAGAATCTTTTACCAATCTAACGGCTTCACTTGGATTATTAAGCTTATCGAGAAGAAGACGAACCGAATCAATCGTTAATCCAGAGCTTAGATAAGCTTTAACCGCTTCTTTGTAATCACCTTGACTTTCCTTGATTCGGCCATATTGATTAAGAATATCAACATTAGTTAAGGAAAACTTATCGATCAATTGTCCAACTTTTCGTGTATTTCGAACGGACAAATATAATTTAGCCGCTTTTTCACCATCACCACCCTGTTCATAAAGTTGAGCAGCTTCTGAATAAAGTTTCAACGATTCCAATATGGAACCACATTCAATGTGTAATTCATGGTCATCAACCAATTCCAAAGCAGCTTCAACTTGATTACAAAACAATTAAATTAGAAAACTGATCAACAACATCACAATCATTGAACTTACCTCCTTTTTTAATGTTACCACATCTCAAAGATGCTCTGGCGATTCCCGCTTTACAGATCTACAAAGGAAAAACAATTAACTAAATCAATATCAACTCACAAACACTGAAGGTTAACAATTAAGGTTGATTTAAAGAGTAAAAATCTTATCTCTACTCTTTGGGTTGATTGATTGTCAGATTGTAGCACCAATTAGATTGAATCAATTTTTCCAATGTTAATTTCACTTTACTCACTTTGTTATTTTGATTTGTTGTAATTTGTTGATCGTTATTATTTTCGTATGTTGTTAGTGCCTTTTCGTAATAATCTAATGCTGATCGATAATCACCTTGGAACTCTAATTGTGATGCGTATTCCCGAGAAATTATTGGAATGGACGATGGCGATAATCTATTGGCTAAAGCTAAAGCTGAATCCCAATCTTGAAGATTTTGTCTCATTTCAAGAGCTTCTAATGGTTTAGATGAAGAGAGAAAAAATTTCTGTGCCAAATCAAAGTGATTTAAAAACAAGGAAACATTTCCAGCAATTAAGTTTTTCTCCTCAATGTAATTCAATTTCTCTAATGAATGGACCATACCAGCGTCTCCAATACAACGGTAAACCCTTCGAGCCAGGTCAATGTTCAAATCGTTTAGAGCGTGTTGACCAAACGCTTTCCATAGATTAAGATCGTTAAGAGAATTACAAATGTTCCAAGCATCGGAATATCTTCGTAACTTTAAAGTGGTCGATAAAATGTCGATCGTTTTGTGTCCCGATTTAATATCTTTCATAGCACCGACCCAATTGTGACTTGGAAGGATAAAATTCGAGGTCTTCCCCGATTCAGTTTGACAGAGAATTACACCATTGTGAATTAGAAGAGGATATTGCCCGAGGGGAAATTTAATTCTTTCAACATATTCTATTGATTTTCCCTTAAGTGAGTCCGAAACGTAAGCGTAAAGCCACAAATTGCGATCATCCGTTAAACTGAATATGTGTTTACTGGGATGATAAGATTCCCAAAGAATTGACCTTACGGAGACTGGAAAGTCTTCCGGTTGGTCAAGAATAAAAGATTCATCGGTAACAGCGTTATATAAATGCACTTGATTCCTTGTATCAACCAGAATTATTCTTAATCCAGTTAAATCGGGTGATATTAAACGTACACCAATTTGATGACGATAAACATTAACCATGGACCAATCTTCGAGTGAGAAAAATTCAATGAAACCAGAATCCGTTGCATAGATGAGAAAATCGTTCGTCAATGAGATTGAACTAATTTTACCAGAATCGGAGGTCGAACCTGTTGGTAGATAAAGTGAATTGATTAAATTGAGTTTCTGTTTTCTTCTCCAATTGATTAACTCATACTATCGTTGAATATTTTGGCCTCTCGTTGATCGTAACTTGATCCTGATCCAGTTTCACTTTCGATTAGGTGAAGATGAAGTTTACCATTGGTAAAAAGAGCAGCGGAATAATCACCGTTTAGAACAATTGATTTTACGATCGACGAATATTCTTTCTCTTTGAGTAATATTGTCGATTCTGTGGATTCATTTAGAGCATAAAACCAAGCTCGATTGTTTATCGATACGACTACATGATATGGTCCAACAGCGATTAAACTTGGCTCAATGTCCACTCTAAAAGTGACCGTTGAATCTTCATCGTAAACATTTTCATCGTTAGTCTCATTTAAAACATTGACCACAGTTACTTCAAGTAATGATGATAAATAAGCGGCTCGAGAGCCGAAAGTTGATCCAATTATTGTTAATTTGGTTAAATAAACGTGAACGGCACCAGAGGCAGTGGTCATTGCAAGAAGTTGACCATCGTCGGTCCATTCCAACCATTCAACTGATTTTTCATCTTCTATCACCAGGACTGATTTTGTATCTTCCAATTGATTCAAATCGAAAAATTTTATTCTAAACAGAAAGATCATAAATTCATTTGTTAATTGTGAAGATCAACAGTCAATTGATTGAAGATTTTACTTACACATTTTCACTAAAAGTTGCGACTTTTTTGGACTTTGTTGAAACGGCGATTCCATTGAGGAAATCTTGATGAGCTCTGACCGACGAAATTTCTTGACCCAATTCCGTTTGGTGAGTTGAAACGGTTACCAAAAGTCCACACGAAAATCCAATGATAATATAACCTTCACCGAACCATTGATACGATTTAACTGAACCATATTTCTCTTGGAAACTCATGATATAAGGATTCTCCATGTCAGTTAATCTCAGGAGAAATAGATTCTTCTTATTGAGAATTAAACTAACACAATTATTACCTGTCGATGAATTAATTGTATCTCGAGGTTGAATTGTGGTAAAGGTTAAAAATGAAGGTTCACCTTTAAGTTGACATTGGTAAAGTGTATCACCTTCAGAGTTGCTAATTGTCAACATATGATCATCACCGGTTAAGGCCAATAAATTGGTATCACTCCAATCACCTGAAAGAAGAAGATGATTATGAACGTAATTAGAACTGATAGAAATTGGATTAAATTTGATCACCTTACCTGTTGTAATTCGTTTGGCATGTTTACCCAAAATTGGAACTTTTCGGGAACTCGAATGATTATAAATTAGAACATTTCCTTTACTCGTTCCAACGGCAAGAAGATGATCTTTTTTTGACCAAACCAACATGGTTAACATGTCACGAACACCGGTGTCAACTCTGGACATCTTATGGACACTCGAATCCCAAAGGTAAATTATCGGTGATTTATCACTAATTGCACCTAAAATATTACCTTCAACATCCCATGAAAGTCCAGTACACTGACTAGGCACGATAAAGAAAATAGAAAATAATTTAATTTCTTTCTCTTAATTGTTTGTTTCGTCTCTTCTAATTACCCTGGTAAATTAATTGTATCGATTTTATCTCCATGTCGATCATGAATTATCACCGTATTATCATAGCCCATTGTAACCAGGTGACTTGCTTTATTCGGCTGCCAAATTATGAACACAGGACCCGAACCATGGGTTCGTTCAGGTATAGTGAATACACGCTGATTAATAATAATGATATAAAATAATGAACAATTAAATCTCGATAATCTTGAACTTCTCATTTGCCTCGAGAAAAACAATTGAAACAAGTGAATATTGATATAGTGAATATAGTGAACCAGAATATTGATCGTGATCATTGAATTTCAATAGATTACAATCAAAAGGAAATCAAACTTACCTTCATAATTAATTGTTTCCTAATAATTTGAACGAGTTGATAAAAAAAAGAATAACTAATCACTCAACAATTAAAACTCTTAATAAATTAGATATTATTGTTAACAATGTTGATGAATTAAAATAAACAATTGGTTTCCATGGATTCAATTAGATTGAAAACAAAAACAAACTAAAAATTTGTGATCAAATTGATTTAGTTGTTAATAATTTTTCTAATTCTTTCTTAATCATTCAATTCAAAAGTTGAAATTCAAATTGAAAGTGAATCAAAATCATAATCAACTAATCGAAACAATCAAAACAATGAAAAACAATTTCAATCATCATCTTAAAGGTAAACGAATGGTTTTCAGTTAAAATTGACTCAATCTTATCCAAGATGAAAGGTAAGAAGAATAATCAATTGAACATCAAGAACAAAAAACTCAAACAAAAGAAAACAATTAATTTAATTTTCTACTAATTAGCTGAAATAAAATGAGAAAGAAAAAAATTTGCTGTGGAAATAGCAAAAGTCTATTGATCGAGCAGGTGTGAGATCTTCGTGAGAATAAATAGCAAAATTGGAAACACGCCCAGACTAAACTCCAAATCTTGTTAATGAAATTAAATTGTAGTTTTTTTGTTTGTTTGTTTGGTGTCGGTGAAAGAGAAACGTGAAGAAAGGTGTTTGTTTTGATTTAAGTTAATTGTTGATTATTGTGTTCACTATTTATTTCTCAGCTAAATCAACATTCAAATTAATGAGATTGTTTTTTTATTGATGATTAAGCAATGGGACAAATACTCTCTGCCGATGGAGCAGATACAAGGGACAACGCTCAGAAAACCATTTCAATTGAGATTCCACCAGTTATACATGACCAGGATAAAGAGACTACTAGTGATGATACAAGCGATCGAATGCCAGATCGCGAGGAAGTTAATAGAAGATTTAATGAAGGTAACAATTAATCAAATTGTCCGTTTTCTTTTACCCGGGATTATCTTTTTCCTCTCTGTGTCAAATGTCAACCATCTTTCTCTTTTGCTTTTCCTCTCTTTCTCTCTCTTTTTAATCTTCTGTTTCTTTTTATTCTATTCTCTTTTCTCTCCTTCATCTTGAAATGTCTTTTTTCTTTTAAATTCTTTTTTATCTTGTCGTTTTCTCCTCTTCTTCCCCTTGTATATTTATCTATTTTTGCCTCTTCTCCTTATAACTAATTCTCTTTTTGTTTCATTTATCAATTTCAATTCTTTCCTAATGTTTTTCTTTTTCTTTTGACTCCATCTTTTCATCTCTCTCTCTCTCTCTCTTTTTCTTCATTCTTCCTCGTGTTTATGATACAGTTATAGCCTTAATGGACCTACCACCAGACAAAGCTAAGGCACTTCGATCATATGACATTGAAAGAAAATGGGAAATGATCCGAGATCAGGAAAAAGTTACAGCCAAAGAATCACCCGAGTTTTATTTAAGAAAATTGCGAACTTATTTGGATCCAAAAGCAAGTCGAAGCTCAAAGAAACGTCGGATTGTGGGCGATTCAACTTCTACCCAAGTTCTCCGTGATTTAGAAATCTCATTGAGAACAAATAACATCGAATGGGTTAGAGAATTTTTATCTGAACGTCACAGAGGATTAGATGTTCTCATAGATTATTTAACCTTTGTTCTAACAACTCAACAACAGCAACAGAAACTTTTAGAACAACAAAAGCTCACCCAGTTAACCAACAATCGATCACCTGAAGGAGGAAATGGCGATTGTCACAATTTATCCGAGTCAAATTTGAAAAATTTAACATCATCATTAACCCATAATTCATCTCAAACTATTAATCTATTCCGGTAAGAAGATGTTCTTTCATTTTTTTACCCGGGGGAATTATATTTACAATCCATTTCCATGATCAACAACAACAACAATATAATCATCAGCATCGTCATCATATTCATCAATTACATGTTTTTATCATTCACTTGGTTAAAAAACATGACACTCAACTGAACAGTTATTCATTATTCTGTCTCTTAAGTTAATCATCTCTTCAACATTTAGTTTCCCATTCAAGGTCTCTCTCTCTCTCTCTCTTCTCTCTCTTCCCATATATATCCAACATCTCTGACAATATGTTTCTGTGAGAGAGTAAGAATATTACAACTTCCGAGTGTAATTAATTTTTATCTCTTGATTCAATTCCATGGGATAGTTCGGGTTTGGCTCATTACCCAGAATAACATCAGACAATCAATATAATTAATTTTCTTTTTTAATCTTTTATTTCTTTACAATTCTGAATATTTATTCAATCCATTTAATTGGAAAAAAAACCTTTAAGCCTTAAGGGTTTTCCATTGAGATTAAGATTTATTCTGTTTCCAATAATTACAGAAATGTTAATAACTCGATTACAAATCATTTATATTGTTTGTCATTTAATTTCCTTATTGATTGATCCATATTCTTATTATTTCTGGTATTATTTTATTATCTGTTTACATCTTAATTGTACATTTAAATTTGAATTGATTATTCAAAGCGAAAAACTTTTCAATATGAATTATGTTTTCTATCATGTCAGATAATTAAGTAACCTTTTAAACCTCCTCATCGATGTTGGTGTTTTTTTGTTCATTGTTACTAATGATTCATTCATCATGATGAATTTAAATACATTCAATAATTTCTCCTCTCTTCCTGTCAATTGAATTATCGAATAACTTTCAACTGGAAAGACAGAATTATGATGATACCATGCATAATATTTTTCTTTTCATATACAAACCCGGATGATAATAGAAAAAGAAAAATATTCTTTTGATAGTGATGATATCAACTCTTTATCATGATGATAATTTCTGATATTAAGCAAACATGAGAAAATAGTAATTCTTGCTCTCTCTCTCTCTTCGTGTTTATTTTAACTAGAAAATGATGAGGAAGAGTTATCATGATGATGACAATGATTATAATCTGTTAGATTTATTCCCGTATATTAAAAGTGTACTGATAAGTATAATTTAAATTGATAAACTCTAATTATTAGAAAACAATCAATTCCAATTATATCATCAAGTTTACACCAAATTATGTCAGGTATTTGAATTACTTTAAACATGATAGTTATTAATCATGAAGCACATGTATTTTATCAACAAGATGCTGATCTAATGTTTGATTACTTTTTCTTTTTTTTCTTAAAAGCTCTCTCATCATCTTATTTATTCAATCATATGTTTTTCTTGATATTTGACAGTTTTATGTTTCCCTCTTCTCACAACAATATGAAAAAAAAGAATGAAATTTTTATTTTTATTTCTCTTCTAAATTCAAGGTTAACATGATTTTCACTAATAATAACTATAGATTTCATATTAATCATTATTATCATGATTCTATCTTTATCTCCAATCATTTATGCATCTCTTTTATCATCAATTTTAATAACGTAACCCTTAACATGCGCTCCCTTTTTCCTTAAAATGAATTTTATCCTCTCCCAACTTAACCTGCTCTTTTCTCTCTCTCTCATCAACCTTTATGGTTTTTTTGCTTGTTACCTGAAAAATTACTTCAGGATATGTGTTCAGTTGAGAAAATGAACTTTTCTATCCAACCATTTGATGGTTTTACCCCCAAACATTGGGTGTAGGCTCCTTATTAGTTTGTTTATTAGTGAAGGTGGGTAATGGGCATTTCAATGGTTCTGTCTTAATAAACAGATTGATTGACTTTTACCATTTAATTAACATCTCTACTTTACCTTAATTTCACCTTTTGTCATCTTAAAGCTTATTATTATTATTATGATAAATTATTAAAGGTTAACTAATTTTACTCAATGATCAAGAGGGAGTAACAGTGTTGACAAGCAGTAAGCTAACATTATATTGTTATTGATGATGATGATAATTTGTTTTCAATTGAAATGACTGGAAGGATGAAAAGGGTTGTAAACAAGCTAAGAAACGAGGCAATCAACCAATGAATTTATATATTATAAAGAAAAGAAAAACAAAACCAATAATCAAACCTTGAAGACGGAAAAGTTTGTTGATTCTGTTTCAATTATTGTTATGATTAAGTAAAGGAAAAATAGAAATATATATATATAAGAAGAAAAAAAATACACTCGACAATGTCAAAGAAATGATATAAACGTGTTGGAAACATTTACTTTCAACGTTGATTTTAATTGTAATAATTGACTGATTGAAGGACAAACAAGATAATTTTTGGTCAATTGATTTTTATCCTTTAAAACGAGTCTTGGTGTTTTCTACCATGAGATGTCAAGAATTGAAACTATCATGACCTAAGTAGATCGCATCATTGAATCAGCTTAATCTCTATCATGATGATGATGGTTTCTCTCTGTGTTGTCTAATCACAAGGTGATTAAGGTGATTATCTCATTAAAAAGATAGAGAGAGAGAGAGAGAGAGATTTAGATCAAGATGAAAAGTTCGTGCTTGAGATTTGATAGCCGAGTATCTTTTTATCAGAACTTTTCACTTGATCATGTAACTTTTTTTTTCGTTATCCACCTAAAGGTTTTAATCTAAGGAAAAGCTCATTATCCTTGTTCCGTTTTACCATTAATTTATTTTACTTTTCTCACCTTTTTAAGTGGTCATCATCTCCATCTTCATCTTCATCATCAACATCTTGGTATTCATCAGATAATCTTAATCTTCCTTGTTAATAGTTTACATGTTGTCAAGTTTAACCAATAATCTCACGAATCATTCATGATGAAGATTAGAATCAAGTCTGAATATCAAATATAAAAAATTTACTTTTCTCTATATTTTGATGATTATTAATATTAAATTATATTGATTATCATTAAAAACTACGAATTAATTATCTTTCAAATATCAACTCGGCTTCTTTGACGTTTCAATTAATCTCAATCACTCTTTATCAATCTAACCAATGTTAATATTACTTTAAAAGTTCAATAGCAATTTGTTGATTGTTTCACCATTTAGAACAATTAATCTTGTCTAAATGTAACAACTTTAAATATCCACCGATGTTACTATTTTTGTTCAATTGATTATCTCCTAATCCTCATGATCTTGAATTAACCTTTTATAACAATAACTAAATTTGAATGTGATGATTATCAGGGTTACTAAATGATGATAATGCATAAACAAAATGATGATTCAAATCACGGAAACATGAAAAATACTCTGATTATCTGTTGATTGTTACAAAATTAATTCATCATTTTCCTTCCTCATTGTTTCAAGAGTTTCTTTTATCTTTGTTATATAATATAAATTGCGAACTTAAAATTAGCACGAATAATTTTGGAACGGAATTAAAGTAATTAGCTTAATTTTCTGTATAATGAAAAGTCACTTTTTGTCACCAATTAATCTTGACAATTAAATCTCAGGTATAACCAGGTAGAGATATTTTATTTTCTCTTCCTTTCTTTTTTTTTGTCAAATTAGTTAATTGTTTGGAAACTGTGTTTTCATTTAGAGTTTGGAAAAGTTTTAATGGTTAATTACATTTCTCATCTTTCAGTTAATTATCATGTTGATTCAAATTCAGTTTACCTTATCATTTATGGTGATTTTGTTTTGTTTAAATAACAATTTTCATGATATCCGCTGTTTCTCAATACAACAATTAATTCAATTCTCAAATTAACCTTGACTTGAAAGAAATGTAACTTTTCAATGTGAAGATATCAATCAACTGAATTAAAATGATTGTTATAAAAAGCATGAAAAATGAATACAAGAGATTGATGATGATGATGATGATCTTCATCTCTATCATCAATAATCGTCATCATTATGATTATCACTTCTAATTAAAAGGCAACTTATTATTATTTAGATGATTATCTTCATCTGTCAAAATGAATCTGAAAAATGGTTCACCTTTCAAAAGATTACATTGAGTTGATTGTAGAGTAACAATCAATTGTGAACATATGATTTTACAATTTATTGATTGTTGGCAAAACTGATTATTAGGCCTCTCTCCAAATTGTTATTATTTATAAACATTGACAATTGATTGTTTACAATTAATTGCGTTTAGTTTTGTCTTTGTATCAAAATAGATTCACTTTTTTTTTATCATCTCAGATTAACATCAAGTTTCATCATTGAAAACAAATTGTGATTTACATAATTAATTGAAATTATTGCAAGTTAATTGCGTTTCGTTTATCCTTATTTGACTATAGCTAATATTGTATAATCCTAATTGTTGACAATTTAATCTAACCCTTTCAATTGGATTTATTGATTTGATTTCATGTTGATATAATAATATTTGTCTGATCTTTAGCAACAATTGGCTTTGAATCAAATTGAGTTGAAAGTAATTTAATTTGCTCCACTTTGATTGAACGTAATTAAATGAGATTGATTAAATCATGTAAACCATTTTTAATTGATTCCTTTTTAGTTTAATTTCTCATTAAAGATTGAGAAAATTTTATCGATCTATTTTTCAATAGAAGATGAATTTCAATCTAAATCATCAATTAAATCCTATCAAAATGTTACTTGAAAGTTTATGTGATCACGGATCATGATGATTATCATGATGATCGTCTTGTGGTTTACCTTTAATCATGATTTGGAACTGAATTATAATGTATGATATTTTTGAAAGCTGTCGACTTGATGATGATAATGATGATCCAGTATTTCATTAATTGCCTTGAGGTTTCATATTTGTTTTTTTTCATCTTCAATTTGATTCCTTTTGATCCTTAAATGGAGACGATAACAATTTAATTATTATTTAATCGGCATCATCATCATCATCTGTTTAATTGAAACTTGATCATCTTGATTAAAGTGAAGAAACGGTAAATCATCAATTCTTTACTATCTATTGCTAATGGATATTAATTTAGCTCAAGATATCAGGTAATTAACACTAAACCAGATTTTCTCGTATTTAGTTCACGTTGATTGTGAATTTTGATAAACTTTCATAACAAACAACTTAATTGTTGTTAACAATCTTCAACCCAATCAATATGGAGAAAAAAATTAATGGATTGTAATTGTAAATTTTCCTTGATTACCTTGTAATTTATGAATGAGAACAGATTAATTAATTGTTTGCTTCTTTTCCAGGAGACCTTCTTTATTCCGTTCATTCAATAAAAGTAAATTGGGAAACGTTGATGACGATGTCCATGTATCCATTATGTGCATGAGGGCGATAATGAATAACAAGAATGGATTCAACATGATCATGGAACACCCTTATGCTATTAATTCAATTGCATTGAGTTTAAATCACCAAAGTTTACGGACAAAATCATTAGTTTTGGAGCTTTTGGCAGCCATTTGTCTGGTCAATGGAGGGCATCAGTTAATTCTGAATGCTTTCGATAATTTTAAGGAGATCATGGGAGAACCGAGAAGATTTCAAACTCTCATGAACTATTTTACTAAACCTGAAGTATTTAACATAGATTTTATGGTAGCTTGTATGCAATTCATCAATATTATTGTTCATTCCGTGGAAGATATGAATTTCCGGGTTCACCTTCAATTTGAATTTACCCAATTAGGATTGGATGATTATTTGGAAAATAAGTTACGTAATACCGAATCAGAGGATCTTTCGGTTCAAATTCAAGCTTATTTGGATAACTTTTTTGACGTTGGTGCTCTTATGGAAGATGCTGAGCAGAAAAATTTAGCTACAGATCGAGCTCAAACCTTAGCTTTACAATTATCTCATTCCAATGAAATAACAAAAGAATTGGAAACCAAATACAATGAACTGGTGCTACAATATTCGGTTATTGAACAAGATTATAAATCTGTTAGTGAAGAGAATCATCATTTATCCGAAGAATTATCAACATTAAGGAAAACAATTCAAATGAGAGAAGAAGAATCAAGAAGGCGACAATCCCTTTTAGAATCGAAAATCATTCAACTCGAATCAATTAAAACAAATGGTAAACTCGAGTTTGATTCTCATATTTTTTTCCCTTCATTTTCCATTTCTAATCATATGTTTTATTCATTTCTCATTTGCAGGACAAACTTCACTTCAAAATAATTCTGATAAAATTTCTATGCAAAATTCAGCTACATCACCAATGACACCTCCGGAGAGTGGATACAAATCTTCATCTTCAATAGCTGCTCCACCACCACCTCCACCTCCACCACCTCCGCCTCCACCACCGCCACCGCCACCACCACCTCCTCCTCCACCTCCATCATCGGTTGCACCTCCACCACCACCTCCACCCTTCCCCATGAATGCTCAAAACACCGGAATGATGACCATTAAGCAATCCTTTGTTACTCGTTACAAGCTTCCTACTCTCAATTGGAACGCATTGAAACCCGCTCAAGTGAAAGGAACAATTTTCCAAGAATTTCATGCTGAAGATCGAATAATTAATTCAATTAATTTTGAAGAATTTGAAGAACAATTTAAATTGGGCCCTAAACCTGAATTAGCTCGAAAAGGTTCAAATCCTACAGTCACTGCACAGAAAAAGATCAAGACAAATGAGAAAACATCTTTATTGGAGCATAATCGACTTCGTAATATGGCCATATCTCTCCGTAAAGTCAACATTGATACGGAAACAGTCATCAAATCAATCAATTCATTTGACATTGAAACACTTTCATTAGAATTTATTGAAATATTATTACGAATGATACCAAATCCACAAGAGATTCAAGCTTATCGTGAATTTGAACGATCTGGTCGAAGTGTCGATGAGATGACAGATGAAGACAAATTTTTATTTAAAATTTCAAAGATAGAAAGACTTGAACAAAAGTTACGAATTATGTCTTACATGGAAACTTTAATGAAACCTGAACCTTCACCAGGAATACCTGGAAAACCATCAATCGGTGTTACTCTTAATGTGATCAAAGTTTGGAGATCTCGAATCATCTCCATAACTGAAGCATCTCGAGCTTTACGAACATCAACTGGAATCCGAACTGTTCTTGAATATATTCTTGTTTTCGGCAATTATCTAAATTCAGCAACTCGAGCAATGGCCATAGCAGGTCAAGCTTATGGTTTTAAGTTACAAAATTTAGAGTTAATTGTGGAAACCAAGTCATCAGCTGATAGATCTCGATGTTTACTTCACTATGTTGCTGAATGTATCCAGCGTAATGTTGAAGGAGAATCGGGCTTAAGTGAAGAGGAAAGACTGTACAAAACATTAGCTACTTTATCACCTACAACGGCAACCAAAAAATTTGCTGGACCCAATAGTCTACTTTCTGGTCTTGACGTTTCTATTGAAGCAATTAAATTACCATTTGATTTGGAAACATTATTAAACTTATTGGAAAGTGTAGCGACCAATGCAACACTGGAAACTTGTGCATGTGAAGTGTTTGAATTGGAGAAAGGGATGGAATTAGTTAAACGTGAATTACAATTAAGATCATATCAAAAAGATCAAGCAACTCAGCGTTTACAAAATTTTGTCGCCTCCAAATCAACTGAATTAACCGCTTTAAAAGAGGATTTAAGAAGATCACAAAGTGAATATAGTAATTGTGTTGAATATTTTGGTGAAAATAGTAAATTATTGGAATCATCTTCTGCTTTCTTCAACATATTTGCCAAATTCTTGAAACATTATAAGCAATGTCTTCGTGACATTAAGATACTTCATAAAAAGAAACTAGAAGCGCTATTACAGGCCAAAATTCAAGAACATCAGAATCAGAAGAAAAATTCACCGGAAAAAGAAGTTTCCTCCCATGAGAGTAAAATTCGAGATAAAAGATTATTGAAACAAGATGAAGTTTATAATGGAGCTTTAGAAGACATTCTATTGAGTAAGTAAATCATCAGTCTAATTATTGATTAATACGCAATTAGAATCAATAGTTATTTTCCTTCACGAATCTCCAATTGTTTCATTATTGTTATTGGAAAATTTTCTTTCCTCTTTTCCCCTTGCCGATTCAATTGAAACTCAATCATCTAATTGTTTCTCTTTAATTTGTTTATGATTTCAGGTCTTAAGAATGAACCTTATCGACGGGAAGATGCCGTTAGACGCAGTCAAAGAAAGAAACAAGCAAATGCTAGACCTCAAAGTCATATGTAAGTCAATTGGAATCAAACGAATCATTAATTTGATCTGTTAATTTGATTGTAAACTAATTCTATCTTTTTGTTTGTTGTCTCTCTTTCCTTTCAATTTAGTAGCTCTGAAATGGATGTGTGATCAGCTTGAAACAATTGGAATTGTCAAAAATAATGATTACTATATTGTTCCTGTAAATCTCAGTACAATTACCGTTCTGATCTGAAGTGATTTATTTTTAACAATTGGGCACAATTAAGGCCACTGCATGGAAAACCAAGTTACTAAAGTTTTACCAGAAAACAGCGGATTATTGTTTACAATTTGATTCTTTAACATTTTTTATCAATTTATACCAATTTTAGTGTGAATCAAATCATCTCGTCTTTTTGTTAACAATTGTTTTTAAATTTCATCATCAAATTTAATTACCGGAAAAGATAAACAGCTGATCAGATTTGATAGAGAAGAATTGAAAATCTTGATGAGATTCAAAGACCAAAATCAAGAGATTGCTGATTAATTTGATGAAAATCTTAATCAAATTGGATTACAGGATGACAATGATTACATCAAATACAAAATTGATCATGATGATTAACAAAGTGATTAGCAAAGTGATTGGCTCAACAATTAAGGATACAAATGATGCAAAAATCTTGCCAATCCTTTTTAATTTATAAATTAATTAATCCATTATGATTAAATACTATCCTGGTGTTAACAATTAACCTTTCAAAGGTTAATTGTTAAAAATAAATTATCAAGTAATATATTGTCACCAAATGACACTTCAACTGGTTAAATGTTTACAATGTAACATACCAATCAACTTAATCATGTTACAATTAAATTGTGTTCTCATTACTCAATCCCAACGATTAATTTAACTTTGATAAAACAATGGAAACATCAACAACACTTATAATCCAACTAATTAAAGGAAAAAATTAATCTGATATCAAACAATTAACAACAACAACGGATTTTACCAAAACCTTTGAATATCAACTACAACTTTTCCCTGATGATTAAGTTTCAACTTCTAATTATCATCTTAATCACAATCAACTGCTAATCATCATCTTCTTTTTTTACATAATCAAAACACTCGCACAATTGATTGTTAGTGTTTTGATTTTGTTTAGAATCAATCAAATCAATGATTGTTGACAATCAATTTTTGACATTTGTAAAATGTTTTCTATCAACTTGAAGGCAACCAAAATGTAACAACAATCAAATTAACTGATTAATTAGTTAATCATTTTCCTTTTTTTTCTTAACCTTTCTGTACAATTCATCTCCATGTATAAGTATATATATTTAATATATAATTATTATATTATCAACTTGTGTAAATTGAGCTTAATTATATTGATAATGATTAAGGCCTGAAAATTAACTTAATTGTTTTTTAATTTTATTTCACAAAAATTGAGATTCGTGTTTGTTAATTAATAGTTACATGTACAGTTGATTGAATACTAATTTTAATTCATTAGATTGATTGTTTATTGTCAATTCTATTTATATTTTTTTAATTGTTCAATTATTTGTCAAATAATTGAAGGTTAATTGTGAGAAAATCAGTTAATTGTTTTCTTTTCCGTTCTGATCAATTAATTTTAACCAACATTAAGTGATCAGATCATAATTATTTACTTAATTTTGATTGATTTGTCCTTAACCATATTAGCTGTAAATTTAAATTACTTTCAATTTGAACCTGGAAACCAAACTGATTAGTTTTAATTGGAGAAAACAATTAAGACATATTGACATGTCCATTTGCCCGTGGACACAATTAACAATTAACTATTAATTGAGTTATAATTGTAACTCTTGAGACTTGATTGTTGAGCAAATGTGTTCACCTCGTGATCAAGTTAATTGTTCAGACTTTGTCCTTTAACTATTTGTTTACAATTAAACAAGTCAATTGATACGAATTGTCATTTGTCACAAACCAAATGGTTAATTTTGTTGAAAACAAATTTACCTCTGGTATTAATTGTTATTATTTTTGATCAGTTCAATTCACTTTCTGATGACATCAGAATCACACTGATCATGATAATCTTGATTGTTATGAAAATTTGCTCACGATGACAATATAATTATGTTACTGTGATTACGATTAATGTTCAACCTTGTTCATCAAATAGAACTGATTTTGGTGCCAAAATTTGGTTCAAGAATCACAGGAACCCCTGGAGATGATTATATTTAAACAATTTGCTCTTCTCTCTCATTTAAATTGCGACAATTAATGAATAGAGAAAAGTAGGAAACCTTGAAGGTGAATTTATATCTCCATCTTCACAGAACTTTCTTTTCATGTTAATTACGTGTTAATCTCTGATCAATACCTTGAGATTTTCATGGTACTCGAAGTAAATATAATTGTTTGTAGAATTTCCTATCATTTCATTTTCTATCACAATTATGTTTCTTTCATGATGATGATAAACATTTTTTTTTCTCTCTGGTTCTATTCACCAACCAACCCAGAATTCTGAGGGGGAAAAAGTACGGAAGTGAATTGGAAATGACCTTGAAAATGGAAAAGAAAGAAAAACTTTTTCTCTTTTCCTTTGTTATTGTTGAGTTTTTTTTTCTTCTTCTTTTTCTCTACTGAAACTGTTTCTTATTTATATTCTAATGTATTTGTTATTCTTCCTGGTTACAAGTTTCTCCTTCTCTAGGTCGTATATTAGTCTGATCACGAGCAGAATGAACATTCTCACTGATTCCATAATTTTCTCTCTCTCCTCTCTCTCTGTTGCTTCTTTGGATTGAATACCCACGCAAGACCCATGAGAGACAAGGATGAGAGGGATTGGTTAGTGAGAGAGATGAAGGGAGCAAAGGGATCAGATGAACAATGTTTTTGGTAGAAAACGGTGATTCTGGTTAATAGAAAGAAAAAGCTTCTCTTGGCAGAATTCGCACTCGTAGCAACAGTAATTTGCGTTAATGATTATGAAGAAACTTGAATTTCAGCTTTTATCATCTTTTCCTTTTATCTTCTCTTTCTTTTCATCTTCTTGGTTTTCCTCTTTTCTTTGTCCTCCTTCTCGTTAATGGTTCCGTAGGAGTTTCTTCATTTTGATTACATGAAATTTAAGATAATCTTAAAGTAACAGGGTTAAAGTAGCTTATTAATCTGGTTACAAGTTTCTTTTTCATATAAACAAATAGCAGCAAATGATTATCATGTCATCGTGATGATGTTTTTTCAATATTACCAGTTTTTTATTCCTTCCATGAGAGTTGACATCATTGGGTGTTTTTGTATAAATAGAGAAACTGGAAAATGAGAAATTGGAGAGAGAGAAGGAAAAATAAGAACGACAATCAGTTCAGTGTAATATTATTACGTTGAAAATGAATGAAAACAAAAGGTGAGAAAGAGAGAGAGAGAGAGAGAAAAGTTAAAATTATATTTGCCGTGATAACTAAGGTTAGTCAGGTGAGTGATAATCATAATGATAGTTAAATAATGAGGTGATTATGGCGATGATGATGATGGTGAACTCGGACTCCACCTTGAAACGAAACAAAAAAAGGAGCCAAACCATCAAAGCTTAACCATTTTTTGGGAGTTCAATGATCACCTGACCAAAAGATCCTCTTCCGTGAAATCATAAACAAAGAAATAAAATTAGAAGAGAGAGGAAAAGGTGAGAGAAGGAGAGAGAAAGGGAGAGAAATGTTGAAGCAGAAAAAAAGCTTATGGACATTCATGGAAGGAAAGAAAGAATGAAAGAAAGAGAGAGAGAAAGAGAAAGAGAAATTAAATAAAAAAAACTGGACAAAGAAAGAAAGAAACATGAAATCAAAGAAAAGAAAGAGAAACAGAGTTGGAACTTTTCATCTCTTTCTCTCACTCTTCATCTCGATCAAGTAAATTGATAAAAAGACAGAAAAAAATAAGAGAAACAAAGAAAGTATAAGAAGTAAAAAGTAAGAGAAAAGGAAAAAGAGACAGAGCAGAAAAATGAAAACAAGAAAAAGAAAACAGCTGATTGGTTTCCCCTTATTTCGTCTCCCCAATCGAATGTCAAACAAAAACAACACAAGTAAAAGTAGAAACTCTTACATATCTAATTGTTAGTTTATTCCTAACAAAATGAGTAGTAAATTTATCAACATAATGAAGTAAACAAAATTTTCCATCAATTAAAGTGTAACAATAAACAAAATTGATTCGATTAAGGTTAAAATGTCATCATCAAAGTTACGATTTTAAATTGTCAACATTACCAAATAGTGGGAGGAAATTCTGCTCGACCCAACCCACTTTGCGCCTTTTTCTTCATTAATTTTGTTCCCCATTCGGTTCCCCTTGGTATCAAGTGACGTAAAGATTATAAACATTACTTGGTAACAGAAGAATAGACAGAGAAATAGAAAGAAAATTAGACAGAGAGAAAAAAAGAAAACATTGAAAGAGAAAGAGAAAGAAAGAGAAGAGAAAGAAAAAAATGAGAACGTTAATCAGTTGATGTTCATCTCTCACATCATAATCATCTCACTAAAATTAACTTATTAATTTTAATTCTATTTCTCCTTTTATAAATTAATTGTCTAAAGCTTAATTCATTTTTGTGATTAATTAGAAACAAAAGTGTTTAACTTGATCAACTCTATCAATTTGTGTATATAATATTTATCGTCCACATAATAAGACAATAAGATTAATTTATTGTTCGCAATAATTTTTAATTAAGCGAAATTTTCTTTTTCTCTTTTCAAATTTTACTTTAATTTTAGTTTCGCCATCAATTTCCTCCATTTTAATTACCTTGTGTATTTGAAAATCTAATTTGTGTTCAACCAAAAGGACAAATTTTCTTTCATCTTTTGATAATTCGTCTCAACTATCAACTTAACCCCATTTTTCTGTTAAATTGAAACAATTTTCTCTTAAATTTTGTTAAATTATCCTAATTGTAACTTAACCTTTTCTCTCAATTTCACTTATGATCCATTAATCCCAAGGTTAAACATTTAACCCCATACAAAGTGAACCTTTGTAAGTCCTTTTGCCTTTCATATCTTTTTATTTAAGCTCAACTCTTTCTCTTGGTGAAATAGTGAAATTTAAATTAATTTGTTAATTTCCCTTCTTCTTGTTGCTGCAAAAATTATTAATCACCTTGAATTGATTACCAGTTCAATTAGATGCAAATTACTCCTTAACAACAACACAACAAAATAGCCATTTAAAGTGGGAAAAGATCAACCATTTAAAATTAAGTGTTAGCTCAACAATTTAACCAAGAAATTGATTAATTTCCGCAGTTATTCAAGTAAGAAGAGGAAAAGCAAATCATCACAAGTCCAATTCTGCCAAAAAAAGTATATATTTGTTAAAATTCAATAATCAACTGATTGTAATAATTAAGCCATTCTCCTGTTAGCCTTTTAATCAATTTGACAAACGTATATTATTGTACATTATTACATTACCATTTTTCCTTCATTGTTCACTTGATTTTTTATCCTTCCATTTGTAAACTGAAACAATCAATTCTTCATTTCAATTTGTTGGTGATATACATTTTGAATTGTTCCCCTTTTTGATTGACTGAAATGTTAACTGGCCTTGCTAACTATTTATTTGGACTAAATGAATTTACTGACGAGGTTTTAGAAAATCTTTTCAAAGAAACTCCAATCAAAGGAGCTGATGGCGATGATTGGATTCTGGTTGAGCTTCGACAGCAACAACAATTGGATTCAAATGGTTCTCATGAACAATCAATTGGTTGTCCAGGTGATATTGAACCAGGTAGTGGAGGCCTTACTTCAACCAATGATGACGAGCAATTGGATCAGCAAAGAGCATCTAATGAAATTTCATTAATCAATGATGAAGACAAACAAAGTACAAACAAGGAAAATGTTAGTGAAGATGATAAACAATCGACTGCCAACAACAATTATCCCACCGAAAATGATGAGGTTTCATCGGAAGAAGATGACGATGAAGAAGAAGAAGATGATGAGGATGATCGAGATGGTGAAGCAATTGATGAACTAATCGCCAATAATAATGATGCAAAGAACCAAGAAACTGCCATTAAAAGGAAAAAGAGAAAATCTCGTGAAAACAATAACCCTACAGGAACAATGGAGGGATCATGGTTCATGACACCACCTCCATGTTTCGTGAGCCATAAAAAATCAATCAAGAAAATTTCCGTTTCACCATTGGAAGATATACTGATTGAACATCCATCGATCAGTGTGTTCCATTCGCACACTTCATCTTCATTGGATTCTTTTTATCCTCTTCCCTCTCAATCATCATTAGCACCAACTCCAAACACCATTGGATCACCTTCATCTTCTCAACATTCGCCTTGCCCTACACTTCATCTCCTTCCATCACCAGGAATTCGGTTCGCTGATTTAACCTCATTGGCAACTGTCGCTGTTTCATCAATCGTTGCATTGGCCACTCCATCATCTTCTAATCGATCCAATCGGTCAAATAGAGGTCAACGAAATGGATCATCATCCAACAATCGCAATAATAATAATAACAATCGACTCAATGATGAGGCAATTCAACCACCAAGAGCTGGTGAAACTCGAGGAGCAAATCTCGAGAATCATGAAAGAACTGGTAAGATATTCAATCGATTCAATTTATTCTCGCAATTCATTCTCTTCTAATTAATCAACGAATGTAATTTAATATTTGAATTTTTCTCTCTCTTTAAATTATCCAGGACATCTTTCTGAAATTACCAATCATCATTTAGCACCAATGCAAAAAGCTATGAACCAAGGATCTCAAAAATATCTGAAAAAGTCTTTCCTTAATCGACAAAATCTGGTCAAAATTCAAAGTAACCAACGGCCAACTCGCCGTCACCGATGTACTCAACGGCCAAGTGGTTACTCTAACAATCGTAAAATGTGTTGACCCGTTTAATCAAATGTTGACCATAATCATTAATCATCATGGTCTCTCCGTTAAGCAAAATGTTAAACAAAAAGCTAATTAATCTCAAATCCAAAAAAACAAACAAACAAACAAAAAAACATCAATTATCACTTAATATCATCACCATTATCTATTATGATTATTATTGCATATTATTATCATCATAATCAATTGCCTCTCTCTCTCTATTATTGTTAACTCTCTCCCTTTTCCCCATCACCTTTAATCATCTTAAAATAGTTGACAATAAGGTGTTAATTACTCGTTCTTTTATTTTCTCTCTCGCCCCTCCCAATTCATTTAATTCTTGTAATTGCTCTAATATATTCAAAACATATTTAATGGTCAACAATATTAACAACAATTCTGAGATTGTGACTGAAACTGGAAACACAACTCAACACAATTCATATGATAACAAAAAACACACAACATATATTAATAATATATAATATTCATTACATAATTGTGAAAGTCAAGAATTATCAAGACTTCAATAGTAACATAAAACACGAAAAAATGAATAAAATGTTCAAAATCAAAAAGATTATCACAAAAGTCTAAAAGTAATAAAAAAATTCTTATCAATCAAATAATTGAATTAATCGATTCTCTTTTCGTAATTGGCGCCACTCGATTAAAATTAAGAATCGAAATGAAAACGATTGAGTTTTTCCCCTTCTCTACCATTTTCTTAATTGTGACTTGCGCAGTTGAATGAGAATTCGCCATCTTTGTTGAGTATTTACTCTTTTCTCATTTTCATTCATTCAATTTTCATCAAAGCTCTTTCATTTCTGTGTCTCATCAATTTTAACATCTCTCTGAACTTTACTCTGTTTTTGTTTGTTTTTCGCAACTCACCATGGCGCGTACCAAGCAGACTGCCCGTAAATCAACTGGTGGTAAAGCTCCTCGTAAACAATTGGCTACCAAAGCAGCTCGTAAAAGCGCTCCGTCAACAGGTGGTGTTAAAAAGCCTCATCGGTATCGCCCAGGTACAGTAGCTTTACGAGAGATTCGTCGTTACCAAAAGTCAACTGAGCTGTTGATCCGAAAATTACCATTCCAACGGTTAGTTCGTGAGATTGCTCAAGATTTCAAAACTGATTTGCGTTTCCAATCTGCGGCCATTGGAGCACTTCAAGAAGCCTCGGAAGCTTATTTGGTTGGTCTATTTGAAGACACAAATCTTTGTGCTATTCACGCCAAAAGAGTCACTATTATGCCGAAAGATATTCAGTTGGCTAGAAGAATCCGAGGAGAACGAGCTTAATTGAGCTCCACTTTTTTCGGTGGATTCATCACCATCATACAAAATCTATCTCTCTCATTTATCTCTCTCTCATTAATATCTCTCTTTCTCATTTATCTCTCATTTACCTCTCTCATTTATCTCTCTTTGTCTCTCTTTCTTCCTCTCTTTCTATTGCCTAATTTCTCAATTAATCTTAGATGACTGAATAAATAATAAGTTTAAAGCTTAATTGTATATCGAATTATTTACATCGAGTGGTCAGTGAACCATCGAAGGATAATAACTCATATAAAAGTTACTAATTAAAAAAAAATGATAAATTCTACCAATAAGTTGAATCGGTCGCAATTTGATATTCCAACATTGATATAGAGTCAAAACAAGAAGATGAGAAATCATTTTGACAGAACAACAAAGAGAAATTCAATGGAAATCAAAGAAAAACAAAAATTCCAATTAATTAATAATCTCAACAATCAAGAAGGAAGAGAAAAGAAAAAAAAATCCTCCAATTAACTCAACCAAATTAAAGAATCAATCAAATTGATCTTATATTTTAACGGAAAAAAAATTCAAAACAAAGAAAATTGAATCTCGTTCAATAACAAAGAGATAAATTTCTCATCACTCAGAATCTCCAATTCTTTTCACTATCAACTCACTTTCTCTTCTCAAATGTAAACAATCGCCTTGTAATCATCGCAATTAACTGACCATTGGAACAATTAACGATGGACAATCGACTAATTAGATGTCACCATTACTCTATTGATTGTTGATCGCCTAATTTACGCTCCGCCCGAGGGGAAAAGTGAACACCCTTTTTATTGAAATTGTTGAATTTTTTTCTTCTCCCAATCAACTCTCGGAATTATCGGTTCTCCATCATGATTCACTTTCTTTTTTTTAAATTTTCTTCTTCTTAATCATGTTAATCAGTCTCTTGGCTATTTTCTTAAATTAGATTAAAAGATTAGTCGTTTTTTAAAAGATTAGATTTCGTGGAGTTTGAAATATCCACGAATTACCAGTTATCATATTTAAACAGTTTTTCTCAAGCAAATGTCACAAAAAACCAGTAATAAGAATAGAAAATGATCATGATTAAGATGATAATTAGGAGATGATTAGCCTTGAATAGAATAGTTAGTTTTTTTTCGTGAACCATCTTAATAAATCACGTGGAAAATAATTGGGAGGATTTTTAACCAATCAGTTTAATCATCACCATTAAAAAGATTCACTTACAATCAAAGTGAATTGAACAAAATATTCACAATTTTGTTAAGTGTAACTTTTTACTCGACACCATTTAAACTAATCAACAAATCTAGTGGACAATTAATAGCAACAAAAATGGTTAATCAAATTAACTATCAATCAATTGTTCTGATTGTTACATTGTCTACAATTTTATCGTTTAATTGTGTTACAAATCAACAGCAAATCAGCAGTAGTTTGTATGACCCATTGGACGAGAATATAATTACATTGGATTGGACCAATTTCACTTCAACAATTGAATTTAAATCCAATATTTTTGTGGTTCAATTTTATAAACATTGGTGCCCTTATTGTAAACGATTTGCGCCCGTTTGGAAAAATTTATCCCAAGATATTAAATTGTGGAAATCAGTGGTTCGATTGGCTGTGATTAATTGTGCTTATGATGAGAATGTGTCTACATGTCGATCGGCTTCAATTCCGTTTGTACCAACGATTCATTTCTATCCAAGTAATTGGAACTTCTCATCGGGATTAACACCGATTGTCATTAAAAAGGGAACAGTTGATAATTTAAGAGGAAATATAACAACGTTAATTGTGAGCACTTCATCATCATCATTAAGTGGAGAATTTAATTATTCTGATCCGGTTGATCTTCGAAATGTACCAAATCAAATATCGGACAGAAAGTTTTTCTTAATTGCTGAGGAAAAGGATTCCAAAGTTGGGACAGAGGTTCGTTGATATTTCCATTGATTAAATTGTTGACTGATTTTCATAATTTTCCTATTGATTTACTTTCTTGATTATCAGGTTATTCTTGACAATTATCAGTTTAAAGATGAAGTGATGATAAAACGAGTCAACTGGAAAAGTCCATGGTTTCATCAATTACAATTAAACGAATCACAATTACCAATTCTTGTTACTTTACCCAAAAGAGGATTTTTACCAATTCTTGTTAAGTAAGTTGATTTGTCAACAATTAAGTTTTCTCAACCGATTTAACCTTGGATTGTTTTTCTTTTATTTCCTAATTAAGGACCAATCAATCAATTAAAAATTCTCGTCAAGCAATTAATGACATCATCTATAAATCGATTGGACTGTCAACAAACAAATCGCGTTCAATTTTAACTGAATCATCGACAAGATCACCAATACAAATATTATCTTTCAATAATACATATGAAAGTCCACTTTATCTTGATGATCTTTACAAATGTTTACAACAAATTTTAACTAATGAGATTTTGATTTATGACAATTATTCATTGGAAAAAATTAATTCATTGAAAAATTTTACCAATCTCATTGCTAATTACTTTCCATTCACTAATTCATCAACAGGAAAACCTTTTTTCAATCATTTATCACAATCACTAGAATCATATGAGAATCAATTGTTAACCAATGATTCTCTAGATTCCATTTCAGTTAACCAATTGATTAGGAAAATTAACCAATTACAACAAGTTCATCGTCTTCCTAAGCCAAACAATTGGATCACTTGTCGAGGATCTAATCCAATTTATCGAGGTTACACTTGTTCCTTGTGGCTTCTTTGGCACACATTGTCTGTAGCCGAGTATCTCCAAGTTGATGGACAGTTAACTAATCATCAGGTCGCTTTTACGATGCGCTCATTCATCAGAGACTTTTTCTCATGTCAAGAGTGTCGACAACATTTCATCAATGAGACAATCGACATGTTCCAAGTGATTCATCAATCGGATCCATTTTCATCTATTCGATATCTTTGGTCTGTTCACAATTCAGTCAACAAAAGAATCGCCGGCGATCCAACTCAAGATCCGTTCTTTCCAAAAGTCCAATTTCCTTTACAAACTCAATGTTCCACTTGTTGGACTCGAGGCCGATTTAACGATAATCAAGTCATTCAATATTTGATTAATCGATACAATCCTTCCAATTGGATTCCCTGCGAAAAAACCAAAAATTAATCAACTGTTACACTTTTTTCTTCCTCAAGACAACTGATTGTCAACTTTTCTTTTTCAATGTACTAATACTAATATCTACCTAAATTTCTGCGACTAAATTAAATAGTTTCGAATTGTCTTTCACAAGTAAAAAACTGATCAACTCTTTTTGTCATTTTGTCATTTTAAATTTTGGATCAACCGATGGACCGATCATAACATCAGGATATTAATATGAATAGAATCATGATTTACATTGACTGAGTAGTTTATTGTCGCCAAAATTTATGTTTAAAATTGTTTTCTTTTAGCAACATTCATTTCTTTGTTGGCCATTGAGCTTCTCGATCAGTTAATGGGACATAAATGACATTCATAACTGTAGTTCGTTTGACACTTCCATCGAGTAATTTATCAATTTGTTCTAATTTTTGTCCTTCTTTCTCTGGACCAACAGGTATGATTAATCTTCCACCGGGTTTCAATTGATTAACAAGCTGTAGAATTAAACGAAAAAGGTTCAAAATTAACACAATTTCAGATTGATGGTCATTGATTGTTACTTACATCTTCAGGTAGAACTGGAGCTGCTGCACCAACATGGATAGCATCATATGGACTTCCTGGTTGATGACCTTTACGACCATCACCAACTGATTAATCAACATAATAGATGAAAAATGAAAAAGGAAAAGAAAAAGGAAAATTACAAAAGAAATAAACTTATTGATATAAAATCTTAATTACATACCAATTAATGTAACTCTACCAGATGAAAGTAAATCAGGTGAATCTTTCTCAATATTGACCTTTGATTGTTCAACTAGTTCAGGAATATGATCAATTCCATAGACTTTACCAGTTGGACCAACCATATGAGCCATACAAGCAGTTAAATAACCCGAACCAGAACCAACATCGAGAGCAGTTGCACCTTCAACCAAATGATCTTTAAAATACTCTAAAGCATAAGCATGCATATGAGGAGCTGAAATGGTAACAGCAAATCCAATCTTTTGTGGAGCATCAGTGAAATGATTAGATTGACAATAATTGGACCGATCAACCGCTAACATTGACCTTTCAACTCGATCACAAGTAATGATTCCATTTCTCTTTAAATTCTCAATCAAATTAATATTGTCCAATAAAATTCATTGATACATTTTAAATGAGTATGAGAAAATATTAACAATGTAAATTTATTTTCAAGTTTTGAGCAAGTGAAGATGAAAAAAAGAGTTGAATTTATACATTAATGTATAAATATGTAAATTTACATATTTGTGCGGTGGGGGTATTACGATATTTTAATCAACGTCCTCAGTGGTTGGTCCTTTGGCTCCAGCGGAGGCACCAGCGACACCAAAGTCTGGCATTCCACCGGCACTTTGGTAAATTTTGGTAACAATTGGATAGCAAACATCTTGATCGAATTCTTCCTTTTCGGCAAGTTGATTGCTGTCCAGCCATTTGATTACTTCATCGACCTTGTTAAGAACTTTCGTCGTATCATCTTGATCTTATCATCTTGGCGATTTTAGCGTTAGGCTCTTCCATCTCGAAGAGCCTTTACAACAGGGTCCAATGTTGATCGGAAAAGATCAAATCGAACACAGTGATTGTGGAATAAAAGTCAATACCCTCATGAGCAGAGTCAATCTCGATACTTGCTTGGATTGAGGAAAAGAGAGTTCTCTTGGCTTGTTCACAAGTAGTTCTCAATCTTCAACACCCAGATGAGTGTCACCGGCGGTTGATTTAACCTCAAAAATATCATCATCAATTGTTAAGAAGGATAAATCAAAAGTACCACCACCAAGATCAAAGATTAGGATATTTTGCTCACCAGCACCTTTCTTATCCGAATCGTAAGCAATAGCAGCAGCGGTGGGTTCATCAATGATTCTCAAAACATTAAGACCAGCAATTGTACCATCATCTTTAGTTGAAAAACACCACACAGGAATAAGTTGTTCCAAGATTAATACCAATACAAGGACCAGCAGACATTTTCGATTCAAGAATTTTGTTTCACAAAGCAAAAGTAAACGTTGATTCACAAAAAATTCACAAGAAGAGGGAACAGATTAGATATATTGGATTTCAAGATTAGATCAGATATTAGTTGAGTCAGGAAAAGGCAACGAGAATATTTTTAACAGCCTTTTGATAAAGAGACTTATGATTAATGAGTTGATTTGAGACTAATCAGGCTAATCATAAGTAGTGTCCTTTTTAGTTTTATAAACGAATCGATAATCTCAAGGTCTTCGCATCACCTCTGCCTCTAGGGATATAGTGACGATGCACTGCTAGGTTTAAAAGATATCTATTGACCTTTTCAAGATTTGCGGCTTCAAGGTAGAGCATGTACTTATGAAGGTCGCTATTTTTGACTCTACTTAGAGCCATCTGAATCCTAGTGTTATCATAATCAACCTTAAATTCACCTCCCAGTTGGTCATAACCAGGATAATGACTCTCTCTAAAGATCATCAGCCCTTCTCTTTAACCAGATTATTCCTGGTCGATTTCTTCATTACAATGTCAATTCTGAAGTTAAGCTCATCAAATTGAGTCACCCGAATTTTGGTTATCTCATCTTCATTCCATCTATTGTAATAAAGTAGGCACATTTTCTTGGGCGCTCGATGAGAGCAGTTGCAAATGGGAATATAGAAATAAACATTAACCTCATCATCACCACACAATAAAAAGTCATCAGAGTTGAATTGCTCAGGCTTTGGGTCAGTGAAATGCGAAGGTAAAACTATCGTTTCGGGTCAATGCCAAGTTCGGACATGATTTCGATGTATCTTTCTTTCGACGGTGGTTTGCTTTTTGTTCTATCAGGGAAGCCAAGGGTTGCATGTAGATCCATTATTAGCTTAAATTGTTCAGTTCTTTTCACAGTACACTTTACTTTGGATTCTTATTCAGACACAAATAGAAAGACAAAATTGATTCACTTTAGTAAATAAAAAAATTTTTTAAAATGTTCCAAAACAAGGGGAACATTAACTAATCTACAAATTGTGTTTTCTATTTGTGAGACTGTCAAGAAGACGAATAATAGACAGAGAAATAGACAGAGAACATTGAGTGATCATTTTGAGTTCCATTGAAACAAACAAACGCTGAACCAGAAGAAGACAAAATTCAACTTTAAATGTTCATTGATTGTAATTAACTGATTCCAATTAATTATTTTTACAGTTGCTTCATCTCTCTGGCCAATTAATGATTAACCTTTAATTTTGCGTTTTCTTATAATCGTTGGTGATTAATCACTGGTACGTATTTGCTTTTTGTTTTGTTTTATTTTGTTCTTTTTTTACTTTGGTTTTTTTTCTATTCTTCATGTTTTGATTGAATAACAATTTAAAGTTAACGTTTCTTATTTAATTGTGACCATTTCTTATTCCCAAACAATTAATTGTCCTCAATGGATTCTAATGACAATACTTAATATTTAAATTCTCTTGATCGTCTCTTTTTTAATGAGTAATATTATTCAACTCTTTTGTTTTCCTTTTTCTCTCTTATACCCAAAGAGTAACAATAACTGTTTAGTCATGTTTTCAATATCAATTGTTGAGAGTTTTTTTGATTGTCTCAATTGATTTTAGATTAATTCACAATTACCTGTTAAACTAAACCTAAATAACATTGATTGATATTACAGGCTAATTACATTTGAATATATCTTTTTGTTGGTTTACTTTAAAGTGTTGTCAACAGGAAATTCACTTCTCTTATCCTCATTTTAACCTTTTTTTTGTATTGAATTTTTTTTTACAGTTTATTTTAATTATTGTCTTTTCTATTGTCATTTAACAGGTAATTTGGGTTGATCACCTTGGTGTTTGAAAGGAGGAAGAGGCGTTTATATTTCTATACCAGAACGTGTTAATTTCTTCGGTAACCTCTTTACTAATCAAAGAAAAAATCTATTTACATTAACAAATATTGAATTAGATAATCTTTGTTTCATCCCAATACGTCAACAATAAGGTTCATCGCCATCATCATCATCATCAGCTTATCATCGTTACCAACGGTTCTTTCATGTTACTCAGCCTTCCAATTTCGTTGCTGCAATAACAACCTCCAATTTCATCATCACCATTGGAAATTCAAGTTGATTATCCTTAAATCATTCAACATTCCTTCACCTTTACTACCAATCAGACTATTACACAGTTTGTCTGATCTCTTTATCCTCTAGTTCACAATTAAGAATTTCCTTTGTTCTAAACAAAATCCATTCCAATTTATTGGCTCAAAAAGAGTATCGGATTAAAAAGCTCAACCTTATTCTTCGTATGATCACTCAAATCTTCTAGAGAGAAAACAAAAATCTCGAAATAATATCATGGAACTTGATGAAATATCTTCCTTGGTAAGTGATTTTCTATTTTTCCGACTTTAAAACAATCGATTTAACAATAAGAATAATTTCTTTTACCCACAAGCAATTGGAGTTCCAATGGCTACTCAATGAAGAAGTCAATGTTATCCTCGAACAGCTGAAGCAGTTAATCATTGTAAGTTCATAATACTTATTTGACTAATTTATTTTAGAATAGAATTTTTTAATTTCTTCTTTCTCTCCCTCGTAGGAATGTTCTCGAAGGTTCACTGATGATGTAGAAGGATTTCCTTCTCTAATTAAGACTGAAAAGTTTGCTTTGATGAGCACCAACGCCTCTCATGCTGATAAATTGAAAATTTTTGCTACCATCATGGCCGATGATATAACTGCAGCGGTAAAGATAATCAATAACCATTATCTACATTTGATATTACTAATTAATAGCTAATGAATTGTTTTTTTCTGTTATATTTATTTTCCAGGACATTAACATTCGTTTGCCTAAACATACAGCGTCTAGTCTAAGATTTTTCATCCAAAATGATTGTCAATGGAAACTACACCAAGTGAGTTCATGATAACTTATTGAAATTTGGCAAGTTAATTAACCTTCACTCTCTTAATTTTCACTCTCTCTCTCTCTTTCTCCTTAAAGATCCAAGATGCGGCCAATCATCTTGCTGCTGCTCTATCACTTCTATCATCATCTCCTCCACCTCTTAGGTACATTGAGTCTGAAAACAAGTTCGACTTTCATTCAGCTGAAGAGGTTATTCAGGTAGAGATTGAATTTTTCGCTCTTTATCGATTGATTTATTTTAATCTTCTCCTAATTGATTTATCTGTTTCTATATTTACTTCAGATGATAAACACTATTATGAGCTATCTACATAAAGGGAGAAACTCCTTGATTGTTCCTAAAACCAAGACAATTGACGAATTAAGGAACAGTCGTAATATGGTAATAGAATAATAACAATTGACACGTCTACTAATCTAATTTACTTTTATCAACATGATTTTCTAATTTTTCATTTTATTCTATTATCAGAAATCATTTCAACCTTCCATTCCAAACGATCTGGCTATTAGTTTTTACATTCAATCCCACAAACTAGTCTGTGCAATTTATCATCAACTTAAAGATGCTCATGGAAATTTGAAGTTGGACATGTACCAGGTAAGAGATATTAATTTCCCTGTCAATTTTTTAATTTGATTATCGATGTTTTATTTATTTTCTGTGTTCTCTTTATTTGTTTACAGGCTGAAACTTCAATTCCATGGTTAAGTGAAGTTCTTGTTTTATTCACTGTTGCTCTTCAATTTTGTCAACAACTTAAGGACAAAGTCTCAGTTTTTGCACAATACAAGGAAATGCAAATCAAAGCCATCCCATGACTTTTACAATCGAATTTATTTTTTGTTCTTTTTTTCAAGTTTTACCGAGTTTCATCTGACTCACCTTTTTTTTCATTATCTACAAATCTGTAGTTTCCATTGTTTGTTTTTCGCTTCTTCTTCTCTATTTCTCAAAAAAAAACTGTAGCCTCGAATATTTAATAGTCGCCTATCACTTAGTTCTATTTGAAATATTAATCTAGAATTCTAAGCAAAAGGAGGAAAAACAATCTCAAAGTTGTTACATGTTTAAAATCATAATCGTCAAAAAATATGAATATGATTTAAACTATTTGATTGGTATACTAATGAGATTCAGAGTAATTGAATGAACTTTTTTTTGTTGTTTTTCTGGTGTCACAATTTATGACGTTAAATAAAAATGCACCAGAAAAACTTTGTGAATTATGAAAAAAAAATATCTAATAACTTATTGCAATAATTTAAAAATAGTAGTGTAACTTGTTTCAAACCAAACGAATGAGAAAATTATTTGAATTGAATTAAATCTGATTACAATTTAAACGAAATTAATTATTGTGTTGATTGTTATTATTTTACAACCAGAATAATTTTCCAATCACCAAACTCTTTCATCTTAATCATCACATGTTTTTCTGTCCATTTGCATGATTAACTCTTGGAAACTATTTGTGAATCGATTTACCCTTTCAGGTCAATTAAATGTGAGAAATTACATCAATAGCTCTGAATTGTGTTCCAAGTTTAATATGTCGGCAATCGAGTGTAATTGCCACCGACGGAAGAAAAAAGTTCAAAGATTGTTGATCAAAATTGCCTGAGGACATTTTGATTGAGGTTATAAAAATCTTTATTCTTTCAGTCAACAATCAATTGTATCTTTTGAAATAAGATCAGTTAATTGCAGCGATTAACCACTAAAATCTTCTAGAAAACAAAAATCACCACCGATAATGAGATTCAGAGCAATCAAATGAACTTTTTTCGATGTTTTCTGATTAGCAAATTATTTGAATTGAATAAAATCTGATTACAATTGATTAGTTATTAAAATTATCAAATTGATTATTGTGTTAATTGTTATGGTATTTATAATCAGAATAATACGACCAATAAATTTCCGGGATTTAGGTTGATGCTCTTAATGAGTCTAAAAATGGTTCAATCTAAATCAGATAGAAACAATTAGTAAATTGTCCAGTATTGTAACTTAATTGCTACGAACCTCAGTGAACCACCAAGATCCAGGTCTGAATTGAACTCTTTTCAAAAAGGTCATATTATTTGTCGGATAAATCAAGTGAAGATGAAGATGACCAATTGAATTAAACGGAGGAAGATGAAATCCAAGCCTAGAAAATTAAAATTAAATTGATTAGAGAAAATAAAATAATAACAATTAAGTTTGATTCCATTCATTACCTTGTAGTATTCATGTTGAATTGTTTTTCTTTGACCAAATCAATGGCGATTTGCTTCATGTTTTCAACTGAGTTGCAAGATGATGAAAGTAATTAGAGTTGAACCATTAGTTAATTGTGACAATTAACTTACCCAGTGAAAGATCATTTTTAGTTAATGATTTAACATCTTTAATATGTTTCTTGGGAATGATTAATATATGAACATCACTCGCCGGAGAGATATCATCAAAAGCGATAAAATTAGAGTCCTAATTTGATTAAGAGAGAAACAATTAACTGTTAATTGTGATGATAGAATGAGCAATAATTTAACTCACCTCATATCTAATTGAAGCTTCGCTTTTTTTACCAACAATTTGACAGAAAATACAATTACTATTAAATTCTGAGCTGCAATTAGATTGTCGTTGAGTTGACATTTCTGATGACAATAAAGATAATCTAAAAAAGTTCAGAGATAATGGAAAAAGGTGAAGGACAGACAAAAACATGGAAAAGAAATTAAATCAACAATTAACTGATTACAATCAACACAAAAGTAAATATAAAAACCAACAAGTAAATAACAAAATTTGTTTTAAAATCAATTTTCAATCAGCTGATTGTTACAAAAAAGTAAACAAATAGCGCCGACTACAGATTAATGTGTTTACTTAAATTGTGACAATTCAGTTGATAAAATTGAGATTTTTGATCGCAATTATAAGATGATTGTAAATGAATTTAAAAGAAAGATAATAAGAAAATAATTATAATTGAACTTTAATTGTTGAAACCAAATTAAATCCCTTCTCAAACCAGAGTAAATAAAGTGACAGATTTTCAGTTGATAAACTGTCAATTTAAAGTGAGTAACAATCAATTGATGAGCGAAATTTGAACGATAACAATCAGAGAAATAAAATCAATTGGTTGATGATGATTTGTGTTTTCTAATTACTTCTTCAATCATGGTGATCGCTTCCGATGAACTTTGTGAAGTTTTCATGGTCTCAGAAATTTGAACGATTCGTTTTTTCATCTCATCATCAACAAGCGATTTCTCAATACAATCTAATAGATAATCTTCATCAAATTCCCATGGATTAACTCGGAATCCGATCTTCTTATCCACAACTCTCTGAGCATTATCCAGTTGATCAAAATAATATCCAACTACGATCAACGATTTACCATATAAAAGTGTTTCCATCAAGGTATTGTTACCGCCATGAGTTATAACCAAATCAACTGATTGAATAACCGCAATTTGATCAACATAATTATCTCCCCACATATTATCAGCTAATTTAAGTTGATCTCCTCGAAATCCTTTTGAAATGATAAATCGATGAGGTGATTTAGCAAGAGTATCAATCATCCTTTGCATTAATTGAATATCGTTTGAAGCAGTTGATCCAAGGGAAAAGTAGATCAATGAACCAGGTTTATCTTTCAGATTATCGGGTATCTCGAAGCACTTTGATTCGGAACATCTGATGAAATTATCGATTCGATGCCAACCAGGTTCAATTGGTTCACATTCGGTGTAATCAAGTTGCTTGGGATAATGATAGAAGCCGATATTGGTCAAGGGTAAGGAAAGTCGAGTAGGACGAAAGACCGGAGGTCGACCGATTTTAGCTAAATGCTCATTCATACAAGTGATGAAAACTTCATGGGAATCGAGAAGGTGATTCCTCATCTCTGCCCATAGTTTACGATCAGATGATGTTGATAAACCAAATTGAATCGGTGGTCCGTTATTGTAAAGTCCAAGTGGATTACAAGAGTGTAAGTTGATCACTGGTAGACCCGTAGAGAAAATAGCACCAGTAAGATCACAACAATCGTGAATTATGCCATCAAATTCATCGATATTCGTCCGACTAAGAAATTCTTTATGAGCTTCATGAAGAGTTAACCAAGCACTCATGTCATTCATATTCTCTTTATCCTGTTGAGTAAAATTAGTGAATCGAACCATCGGATCGCGACGAAGTTTTCCATAGTCTTGTCGATCGTTTCAACAAGAGAATCTTCATTTTTTTCTGGAAAAAGTTCCTTTTTGAATGCGATGAAACCGAACCCACGATTAGTAGCAGCCTTTTCGTACTTCGGTAAATGAGCAAAGGTCACTTTGTGTCCATGGCGGGTAAGAACTTCGCCAAAACCAAGTGTCGCATTGACTGGTCCATATCTGCAACAGTACAAAGAGGTAAAAAAAAATGAGGACACGGAAATACAATTATTAGTAAACTATGTAAGCACAATCAACGATGGTCAGTAAATCCTAACGATAACCGTTTATATCAGTTAAAATACTCACGCATTCATAGTGGTCAAGAGGAAGTGAAAACTTGTGTTGGTCATTTTAACGATGATTTATTCAAATTAAATTGACAATTTACTTATTGTTGATTTAGCCTTACTGAAAATCAAAATGAAAAAACTAAATACAAACAACCTGTTTACTTGCAATTCTAATTGTACAAAAACACGAAACCGCTGATTAAAAGATGACTGCAATTAATGATTAAAATGCGCCTCGAGCAATTAACTATTAATAATAGCTTAATGATGACTTAATGGTTGTCTTAATCTACAATCCGTGAATTAATTGATGATAAGATGTAATCAGTTAAATTGTTTCAATGTACAATGTAGTGTTTCAATACATATACTTGTGTATTTTTCAGTTTAATTGTTATCATTTGATTTGAATCTTTTTGTTATCACCATCAAAATGATTAAGATGCAGTTTTGATTGTATCAAACAATTGATTAAAACTATTTGACAAGACAATTGATTTAACCATGAAAACATTTCAGGATTGGTTATAAAATGTCAATGATATTAACCAAAGAGTAATTAGTAGTTAAAATGGATGCTCTGGCATATTAAGAGAAGAAAGTGAACAAAGAGAATGAGAAAGAGAAAGAAAAAGAAAAAGAAAAAGAAAAAGAAAAAGAAAAAGATCTTTCTCTCTCTCTCTCAACCTACAATTAATTAACTAATAATTGTGGACAGATATTTTTTGTCATTGTTGATGTTGATCAACCACAACAACAGGTTGACAAAATTAATTTACGTTAATTAACATCAATTGTTGTTGATTATGATGATTTGATTGTTGATTGTTAATGACTGTTGAAGCAAATGCTTATCGATGTTGATTAATTAAATTATTATTAATCAATAATTATTCTTATTATTTGAATACAAATTTAGGCAATCAAAAGTAAACGAAGGAGGATAGCCAAAATGTGGGATTTTTTGCTGAACTTTTCGGACTTTTTCGAAATAGGTATCAATCGAAAGCTCTCGGTGAGCTGAGTCTTACGGACTGATCAGAATGAAAAAATTATTTTTCCCTTGGGAATTAAATGTAACTTTTTTGGGACACCATGATGCACCAATCGTATCAAATTTTTTAGATGCAACGTTTTATGACGAGTTCAACGTTGTGCTCAGTTTAGTTCTAGATCCCCACGTTTTTGAGTAATTCCGGTTTTCTATATTTATATACATAATATCATATGATAAGATAATGACAATTAAGTATAAATAAAGTATAATAAGTATAATTGTTGTTTTGTCTACTATATAACCTTTAATCATATTTAATTTAATTTAATTTAAAAATTTTCTGATTCGTAATGATCAATCCATTCAACAATCTTTATTTACAACAGATTATAGGCTCAGCTCGTTTTTAGTTAATTGCCTGGGTAATTGTGATTGTGTTTAGATCGTTTGTGTTTAATATTAATATTAATTGGTCATGGAGCTTGACAACAAAATATTAATATCGAAAATCGAATTGGAGATTCAAGATTGAACTTATTCTCAAGGAGAATGATTTGTACGATATTGTTACAGTTAAAGAGGTTTGTAACTCTATCAAAGGTAAAGCGAGTGATTATCCAAAGAGATGTGTTCAAAGCTTTTCGTCTTATTGCTTTGTCTAATATTAAGTGTCTAGATTTTTGAAAAATCCAGGGTTAGTTCTGATAAAAAAGCATATTCAAAGCAGATTAAATGCGCCATCGTTGAAACTTACAATTAGATCAATAATAAATAATATCTTGCAGATAGACAGAACACCTGTCATTGATAGAAATAATTTCCGAAGCTCAGGAAAACGCGCCAATTGTTACATTTGCTCCAAAGTTTATTGAATGAATAGAAGAAGCTCTAAAAAATGCGCTCTATGCGAAAAAACGATTTGTAATGACCATGTAGAAATATTGTTTACTGATTGTCATGAACTCGATTGAAAAATTTGATTAAATAAAGTTGACTTTGATGCATTAATCGAAATTTGAAATTAATTTTTTAATCAAAAGTGGCAATAGTTTAAAATTTGATCAGGAAAAATGCGCGCCACTTAATAGATACCGAGACGTTGGGCTAGAGTTATTGTTATTATTATTGATTCAAAATGGGTTGAATATTTAATTACTTACAGAACATTTTCTTTACAATTCAAAAGTTTTTTAGCTGAGTATCTTTTCTTCGAATCATTTAACATCATCATATTTAAGATAAAAGATAGATAATCAGGTGTATCTTCATTACAGTTCATTTGAATTGTTACAATTTCCTACAACGTATTTATCATCATCGTCCCATCAAGGTAATTCATTAAATAAGACGAAAACTGATACCGGCTATACATATTTTGTTCCTCTGCTGTGAAACGATTGTTTCGATAATCACTTTAAAATACAACTAAATATCACAATTAATAACAATAAGATTTAACTTTAATACTTTTACTTTGATGTTACTTAAGGGAAGAGGGAATGGGGAATGAATAGTTACAATGAATGAATACAATGTATTACAATAATACCGAAGGTGATCATGATACTGATCATGATCACCTTCTAGAACATTCTAATTATCTACTAATCGATAAAATATCGTGACAATCATTGATGACCATGAATATCATGGTCATCATCATGGTAACGTCTCAGACGACAAACAACAAACTAATAATCAATAATTTTTGTTACAGCTGTTTTCCGACCAATATTCAGGGGCACAGAAGTGCAATGTGTAATAACCAGGATCATCTTCACTGACATTAAAACCACCATTACACCAAAGTCTATAATTTTCAATATCTTCCGGGCATCAACTGTTAGGTTACATGGTTTTAAATCTCCATGGATTATTTTTTTGTTGTGAATATAATCGAGTGCTTTTATACACTGGCTCATCAAGCAGCTAATGTCTTTCAAGGATAAACGATCATTTTTATTTCCCATGAAATTGGTAAGTGATTGGCCACAAAAATCGACAAAAACAAAATCATTACCGTAATCTTTTTCATCTCGGATTCATTTCACGATATTCTCATGATCAAGTTTTTTTAGGAATCGAATTTCGGTTGAGGCGATCCCGGCTTTCAACACCTTCAAAACCATTTTATCTGTCGATGATTCAAGTTCGAAAACATGTCCGAAATTAATAGTTGCTATTGATTGTATCAAAAACTTTGTCCCATAAAAGTCATATGTTTTTGTGGCAAGTTGATTTTGGATAACAGAACAAGGGATGTTAAATCTGTTAATATGACTTTGAATTTCATCAAATGAGGTAATCATTAGCAGTCACTTACGATGGATGAAAGTTTTAAATCTCTTAATATTATATAAATATAAATAATTTTATATAAATTTTTATCACCATAAACGAATAAAGTACAATAAATCCTTAATACGGCTTTTATCCAATTGAAAAATATCACTTATCACAGGTATAAATCCGAAAAACAGGTATATCCTTATGGCAATATAATGATAATCTGGTTCATTTAATTTCACTTTTTTTCTTTTCTATTAATTGGATGAACTTCATTAATATTAGCATCAAGAAAAGCATTTAAAAGTAAATCAAAAGAATTTGAAGGTAAATGTTTTAAACGTGGTAAAATAGGTCATATTTTAAAGGATTGCCGTGTTGATATTAATAATATTAATAAATATTAAAAAGAAAAGAAAGACAATGAAGATAAACCTAAAGCTAATAATGTCCATGAGTTCGAAGCTCTTATGGCTTATGATGTGTCTGTCTCTGGTAACGGTTGGTAGTTGATTCTGGGGCAACTTATCATATGTTTAATAATATTAATTTATTCCCAAATTTGATAGTGAAGCTAAAACAGTAACTCTTTCTGATGGTAATCGAGTTAAAAATCACGGTGAAGGTGATATTATGATTAAATTGCCCGGAATAGAAAAAGAATCAGATTAACAGGTTGTCTATTCGTACCTGAATTAAAACATAATTAACTTTCTATTTCGAAAATTGTTGAAAAAATAGTTAAAGTTATTTTTGAAAATGATTCTGTGCGTGGCTTTCGTAATAATAATATTATTTTTGTTGTTCGAAAGAAAATGGACTTTTCAAAATTGATGATCAGCCAGAGAGTAATATTGTTACAAATGATGAAGATGAAGAAGTTGTTTGGCGGTGAGACTCTAGAACACCACCGTTCGAAAATCGTCTTGAAACTTTTTCTGTGTATAGCCTTCAACATCATGGTCATAAATATTGATGGAATTTCTGCGGAAACCATTGGTTCAGAAGATACAGGTAATCAAATATCCATTTTTACATAGGAGTGTATGGAGAAAGTTTTCTACAGCATGTCAAAAAATTTCTAGAACGATGTTTTTGATACCATGTATACATATAGGTCTGATGATGTCGAGTGTAAAAATTCAATTTCTGGGTGCCTTGGTTGTGTAGTTATGACCTTGACTAGTAAATTTGACCTTGAGAATAATATGTACTAAATTCTGAGTGTCTGACTTCCGGTTCAATAGTTATCCATGAAAACAGTGACAGATTCCTTATGAAATCTGGTCAGGTAATCAAGCTGATTGCAATCATCTCAAGGTATTTGGTTGTATTTATTTCGTTCGTATCTCGAAATTTTTAGGGATAAACTTGGTAATACTATATCAAAGAAGCAACTATTTGTTGGTTATAGTGACTACCACAAAGGCTATAAGGTCTGTGATCAGGAGAAAAAAGGTAATCGTGTCACGTGATATCGTTTTCAAGGAAAATGGGTTTCGAGAAATTGAAGATGAAAAAAATTATGTTAATATTGATAATAAATATTAATTTCCAATCTTTGTTCTCACTTTAAAATGAGAGACATTCAAATGGAACGACTGAATTAACTTAAGATTACATTACATCCCTCCACTTAGGGTGGAAAACGGAAGGTAATGGGTTAGGTAGTTTCTGTGTTATATGAATTGGTTAATGAATTGAAATTTTATTAATAATAATAATAATAATAATAATAATAATAATAATAATAAACGTAACCCAATTAGGTTTTAATAATAATGACATATATAAAAAAATTAATAATAAAGAATTAGAAAGGAAATGAATTGAATAATTGTTTAAATTAGTTTATGTTGATTTGATTGGAATTAAGTTTAGAGTGAATTTCTTCAATAGTTAATGGAGATTCAGTTTTAGCTACATTATAAATATTAGTTGCGTATTTA